CTTCATACTGTAAATCCCGTTTGACCGTCAAAAGGGACGATCTATAGTGGTAGAAAATACGGCTAGAATCTAATCTTTAGTAGAATATTAGTAGCTATGAGCTCTAGATGATTAAGAATTCTTTAGCGATTATTAATGCGGAAACTTACGAGACGACTCGTTTATAAATTATCTTATCTAATACTTAAGTCGATATCGAGAATCGTTTCGCTATCGCCTTAGAGATCTATAAGATAGTTATACGGGAACCGAAGTATAGTGGAGATTTAGAGGCGTTAAAGGGCTTAAGTTCGAAAGAGTTAGATAGAAAATAATTAAATAACTTTATAGAGCGTTTAAAGAGTATAAAGAAGAGTTAATATTTCTAAGAGAATAAGCGAAGATTATAGTTAAGTCTTAAGCGAGGTCGTTAAGGAAGCGAGCGATAATAAGAGAAATGTAATGGAAGAAGTTTAAAGTGAGAGATAGCTTTATAATTAGCTAGGGCGTCGACGCTAGACTAAGATTCTTTTTATATAGTTCTCGGGGACTATCATTCATAGAATAATCAATTAAGTTATGAACGGAAGAACTTCCTTTAGTTAAGTGTACGTGCTGTGAAGAGACTATCTCACCGCCGTACGAGTTAACGCCCATAACTAGTAGCCTCGCCCTAGTTCAATATTAGTCTATAGATAATCTAAGCTCCCTTATAAAGATCTAATATAATGGTCGGAACGTAACTCATTTATAGTTTTAAAGATATTACTCTTAGTACGACTATAGTATTAAATATTTAAATATCGTATTCTCATTATTTCTCGATTTAAAAATCACCACGAAAAATACTAGTATTATATTATAAAGAAGAAATCGACGTAACTAAATAAATTAAATAAGTTATTTAAATAGTCGAAAGAATATAATAGTTAAGTAAAAAATTCGTACTAAAAATTACTAATTATATTAAAGACGATCTAGAATTAAAGATAATATTTAAAAATAAAGTAATTAAGAATAAGAAGGCTAAAAGATTTTAAGTATTAATTAAAGAAGCGATTAATAACCGAAATAAGTATAATGAAATTAAGAGAAGATTTATTAAAGATATTAATTATATTAAAAGTTAGAATATAACTCTATTTCTAAAGAATACTATTCGAAGGACTTAGAGAACTATCTAATATATAGATAGTAAGGCTCATATAGATCGTAAACCTTATAGGTAAGTAAGTAACTATTAAAGAACTTAAAGATAACTATCTACCTAGGGAGAGTAAAGGTCTTTATATAGACAATAAGTGTCCACAGTTAAGACCCTTAAAATATTGATTTCAAATCAACATTAGTAAGCACGACTAATCATTTAATAGAGTGCGAAATTAATATCGCACTAGTCACGTAATTTCATAGACTCTAGATCTAAATACGAACTTAAACTTCGTATTTAATCACGTAACTAAAGATTTATATTAAACCTTTAGAGGGCGATATTTCACAAATACGAGCGGTAGAGATACGATTAGTTAGAAGTTTAGATAATAAATAATCGAAGAATTTTAAGAAAGTATTATAATATAGTGGCTAAATAATATAGCGTATATACTAAAGAAGCTCTAATATATAAGAATAGCGCCTAAGTTACGGGACGAGACACTTATAAATATATTACGTCGAATTAATCATTAAATAATAAAACGATTAGTCGGTCTCACGGATATAAAGTTTTCTTAGTTAGTATCGTAACGAATCGATATCTTTACGGTATAGTTAAATCTAAACGGTTTTAGAAACGCTATAAATAATTATAAATATTTATAAGTTATAGCTACGCGTTTAGAATATTATCTTTAGTTAAAGAATAGATTACACTAGCTAAATAGTGTAAAGTTACTAAATATATATAATTTAATTCTCACCGAGAGTCTTCTAGAGGTACCGATTAGCTAAATTAATTAAGTCGAATAAAATCTTATTATAAGAAAGAAACTAACTATAAAATCGTCTACTAAGAAATTTATAGAGAAGAGATTTAGTAAGATATTAGCGAAAGATAAGATCGAAGATTAATTAAAGAATTTCTAAAAATAAGCGATAAAATCTCCGTCTTTACCGACCGTATCTAAGAAATAGTCGGAAGAAGAGTAAAGATATTAAAAGCGAAATATTTTAAATTACTTTAAGAATAAGTCTATAATGAAAAAGCTCACTAAAATTAAAGAAAGAGAAGTCGTAATTAAGGAAGCGACTAAAAAGTAATTAGAAATTCGAAATAAATATATTAAAATAGTGATTTAGTCTAGAAAGAGATCGCGATTAATATCGTTAGTTCTAAGAATATCTTTAGAGATAGAAGTAAGAGCTTCTAAGCGAATATACTTCTCGTTTATTGAATAAGCGTTTACGGAAGCTAAAGAAACTATTATTAATAATAAATATCTTCGTAGAGAGTTTTAAGAGTTATCTTCGTCCTTTAATATAAGACTATATAAATAAAATTTATTAAGAAATTCTTTTAATATAGAAAGACTAGTATAGAAGATTATTATAAACTAATCTAAGAGAGTTAAATATAATATCGGTAAAGATACGTTAATAAAATAATAAGCGAATAAAGTAGTTTAGTACGGATTTAAAGTTATTATACGAATATTCTAAAGATTAATCGAGATATTACTAACTAATATTAGTTCGAGATAATCTCTTTAGTATTACGCTATTCTTAAAGTAATTCGAATTATAGAAAGAGTAAAGACTAAAAAAGATACGTTAAAAATTTAGCGAATTCGAGACGCTTTAAAGAAATTTAAAGAGTATAGTCGCGAAGTAAAGAAATCTCTTCGCGGCGAGAATTATTACTCGGGAGAGTATATAATTAATAAGAAAGAATTAGAATATCTTTTACTTAGTATAGATTATAACGATTAATTATTTATAAATTACGTTATTAGAGATATCGCGACCTACCGAAAGTACTAAGTAAAAGACGAATAAAATATAATCTATCTATATAACGTTTAAGAAATATTTACGTTTATAATTTAGCCGCGATCGTAGCGATAAGATAAATTTATATAGAAGAAGCTAATTCTCTATTAAGAGATTAATTATTAGTGATTAATATACGTCGATTTCAATTCTCGAATCGTTTACGCTATGAATTTAATTAGGAAGCGCACGATAAAAGACTTAATAATTTTAATTATTTTAGAGTATCTTAACTCTTAAGTTTAAGTAAAGCTCGAAGACGATAAATAGTTTATATTTTAGAATGTTAATATTAATAAATAACTAAATAACTATAATTACGGAATATTTATTATCTTTTAGATTAGAGCTCTTATAGAAAACGATATTAAAGCTATTAAAGAAGTTAAAATCGATACTTTCTATCGAGTTTAATTTATTTAGAATATTTATTAAGTTATTATTAGAAATGAAAAAATACTATTATTATAGTTGTCTCGCGTAGAAATTAGTAAGTGATAGCTATTAAAGTTTATTATGATAGTTACTCTAAATAAAAGTATTATTAATCTTATTAACTAAGAGAATATAAACTAAATATTATAGACTTATATCGACTTATATAGCGAAGAAAGAATAAGTTTAGAATATAATAGTAATGACTCTTAAGATAGAATTCTAACGCGAAGAGTAAACTCTCTCTTTCCTCGCGTTACTTAGTTAGTTAAGGAAGAATTCTAAGTACGAACTCTAGAATTACCGAGTAATATTAATATAGAAATAGACTCGATCTTAAGATAGAGTAATTATTAAAGCGAAATATTAAGAGCGTCTTCGATATTCTTATATAGACTAAGTAGATTTATTATATTTACTAGTGATGTTTTAGTTCGTATTCTAGACTTAATAAGAGAGAAGAATCTATCTTCGTTATGAGCTTCTTCTTATAGTGCTACGAACTTACTCCCTAGATAATAATAAAGTTAAATAATTCTTAAGTATACTATATACTATCGAACGAGGTCGTTCTATAAATAAGAGAGGAAGAGATATAATAAGATAAGATAGCTATACTATGATAAGTCGTGCTAGGCTAATAGAGCGGTGGTAGAGAGGAAAAGTTATTTAGTTATATGTTAAATCTAAATGGACTAATAGAAGGGGGTATAGAATAGTTTACAGTACTGGTAGTGTGCTATTTATTATAGATTAAGCAGAGCATCATGAATTCCATGGCTTTTGGCGCCGTCTACCTAATTTCTCAGTGTTTTTTATTAGTTCTGTTCTATTCGTCGATGCTCCCGCTGTGCTAGGTGTTTGTAGCCCTAGCCGCTGCCTCTCTAGGTGGTGTTAGTGGTGTTGTCTTGTCAGTATCAACCAGAAACGCGTTCTCGATTCCCGATCTGCTGGACAGGCCTCTGTGCGTTGTTGCACGTGCACGCTAAACCCTGAAGTGCTCTGTTACAATAGAAGCTATAGAATAAACGTTATAATTAGTGAAAGGTGTGGAATGGAAAGAATAGGGAGACGCTAGAGACAGCTGAGCTAATTAGTAATAACCCTGGGAGCCTATGGGTTAGTACGCGGCGCGCTGAGGTAGCCCAGCGGTCTCATGGGCTGCGTAAGACGTAGACTTACCTTGACAGCCCAGGGCGGCCCAGGGCTCTTAGGGTCGCGCGGGAAATTTTGCTGATGATAGTATAAGAGTATTATAAATTCTATGGCTTTTTAGCGCCGTCTATTTAATTCCTAAGTATTTTATTAGTTCTATTCTCTTCTTCGATACTGCCGCTATGCTAGGTATTCGTAGCCCTAGCCGCTGCTCTTCTAGATGGTGTTGGTGGTGGTGTTGTCTTGTCAGTATTAATCAGAAACGTGTTCTCGATTCCCGATCTACTGGATAGGCCTCTGTGCGTTGTTGTACGTGCACGCCGAACCCTAAAGTGCTCTGTTATAATAGATTAAGAGAGATATAAAGGCGAAACTATCGCTAAAGAAGAGAGAAGATGTTCGTAGTTAACGATTATCTCTGTATTAGTTACATTATGGGTCTCTTAAAGTCTGTTGCTATTCCTAGTCTCAGCTTTCGCCAAATCCCTGAGTATGCGTTTTAGGGCCTTTCCCGTTGCATTTCGCGGAATTACGTCAATGAAGGAAACTCCGCCTGATAGCTCCTTATATTTTGCCAATCTCTCCCGACAGAAAGACTTCACTCTCTCCTCTGTCAAAGCTGTGTCATCTGCTCCGGGCCTCCGCACTACATATGCCTTCGGCATTTCCACATCTAGTTCGTTCTGCTTCCTGATGCCGATGACGGCAGCGTCTAGGATCTCCGGATGAGAGAGCAGGACTCCTTCGATCTCGGCTGGGGCTACCTGGAAGCCCCTCACTTTGATGAGCTCTTTCTTACGATCGATGATGTACCATTTCTCTGTTTTAGAGTCACAGAACATCACGTCGCCAGTTTTAAAATACCCTTCCTCATCAATGGAGTCTTTCGTAGCGTGTGGACTGTTGAAATAACCAGATATTATCGTTGGGCCTCGAATGCAGAGCTCTCCTGGAATGTCGAAAGCAGTAATATCGTTCCCGCTGTCGTCTATGAGCCTGCAAGTATGATCAGCAAGCGTGGATAACCGCATCGTGGGCGGGGTCTCACTTGACATCCAGGTTCGGCATCATACGCCCAACGCTCCCAGTATCATCTCGTTCAGGATAGTAGAATTTTGAAGCCACACAACTTGTCTCCGTCATGCCCCAGACCTGGGTGAAAGACGTCTCTGACCCGAGGATAGTTTGAAGCGACTTTTGGTGTTCCTTGTCCAGCGGACCTGCCCCACAAACGACCACTTTAATTGATTTGAGGGAATAATTGTGGAGGAATGGATATTTCAACACAGCAACCGCAACCGGTGGAACGAAGACCATTTCAGTGAGTTGGTATTTTTGGATGGAAGAAAGGAAAGGCTCCATCTCGAAGCGTCGGAGTATGTAGCTTAAATCCCCCGATCGCAGAGGAGTGACATGAGCTACGGGAACCATTGCTGCATGGAACAGTGGGAGATATAGGAGGCGGCGAGGCTAGACCAACAAGATATTAGCACGCCTGTACTCTACCCGCTTTCCGTAGTATCGAAGACAAACCTCGTACGGAATCGGATGTGTTTCATTGACCAACGTGTGCTGAGCAATCAGATTGTAATGGGACAATGCTGCGGCTTTTGGCAATCCAGTAGTCCCACTGCTGAATAGCCTAGCCGCTGTCGTCCCTTTGGAGACTTGTTCATCATTGAAGCGAATCCAATCTTTTTCCCCGTGGCCCAGGAGCGCCCTCCAGGATGAGAATCCAGCTGGGATCGTTTCGTTCTGGGTATCGAAGGCCCAGATGTTGTTTTCCGATATATCGCATTCTTTTGCAGCTGAAACGACGGCTTGTAGCAGATCGGGTTCGGCAATGATAAACCTGGTGCGAGATGTCTTGAAATGATGAGCAAGTTCGAAGCGGGTGTATGCTGGATTGGTCCCGGCAAAAATTGCACCGGCAGCAATGATACCCAGAAAAAGCATCGGGTAATAAATCTGGTCAATTCAGCCAAGTTCCAGTCGATATGATGAGCGTCAGACACAACAAACATTGTTGAAGCTGTGAACGCAGACGCAGTCTCCAGGTGTCACGCCGGCGGCGTGGAAACCTGCTGCCAGTTTTCGGATTATCGCTCGAGCTTGCCTCGCAGAGATTGACCTTAACGGGTCAATGGCATCAATGTAGACCTAAATAGTCCCCATAGGAGATGTTTCAGTGAGCTGTGACGCTGAGTCTGAACATGACTCGTTCCGGAGTGAGAACTCACCGGTTTATCTTGGTCGAATTTTGGCTTGTCGAACATCCAGGACAAGATATCCTTATTAGGAATTGGCACAAACTTTTGAGCAAGAAAAGGCATCTTGAATTCTGGCAAATACTGGAAATGTTGTTGGCGGGCGAGGTTGTGGCTAGACTTTACTATATCATCCCAGACGCAATGGAGGCACGGGTCTAGCTATCACGTACGTGAACCAGGAGCGCCTCGGATGAATTTGTATTGCCAGGTCCCGATGTACCCCAGATTTTGGAATCGAGTACATCTCCACTCGATTTCCATCATGTTAGCACTTGTGTATATCTTGAAACCGATATGTAGAAATTTTCTGGCGGTTGAGCATAGATCCAACACTTCATTGGTGCCAAGTCCCAACTTAGGGTCATCAGCTGACAAAGGAGATTTCCCAATTCATTCGGCTACTAAAATACGCCGAGGTTCCTTCGGCTGTTGCCATTCTTAATTAAGTGCATAGTCCTGGTTATGTAGGAGTAGCCTGATCGCGATGAATGCGGGGTCGGCACGATCGGAGATTAACCAGCTTTACAGAGTACTTGCAAACAACCCTATTTCATTTTTGTCAACCTAAGGAGAGCAGTATCCCGGTGTCTCGATGTGGAAGGGAATGGTACGAACCTCTCCCTCAGCTATGCACCCTTTCCCATTAGGCAGCGTGGTAGGATGGCTGAGCCTGGTAAATCGTGGTCCTTCACAAGGAGAGCCGGAAGAGCCTGCTTGAGCTGCAGAGCCCGTAAGGTCAAATGTAATGTGGAAGAGCAAGGTTCCCCATGCAGCAATTGCGTCACCGACAGTGTCAATTGCCATGTGCAGAAGAGCAAGAGAGGCAGGTACGATCCAAAATTTCACTCTCAAGAATTCTTGTGCCGGAAGCTGCTGCTGAGGACGTCTTCTACAGGAAAGCATTAAAAATCAAGCCCGCAAGCAACATCTCAACAAGGTCAGAGGGTCAACGTCCTCCTCGCGCGTCCGGCGATAACGAGGCCTCTGTTATTGATGATGTCTACCACGTTCCCGAACGGAGACATACCGATCAATGGTTGCCAGAGTACGAGACAATCCATGGATACATTGCCGAAAGGACTGCAATCCAGCACTCACACACAGAATCGAGTAAGTTGGAACGAATCTTGTATGTTCTTAGAGGCGCTGATAAGAATGGTAGGAGCAACAAACACGTTACTGACCGCTTCAAAAAACGATGAGCTATTACAAAACATCCACCATGAGTTGACGTACTCTTCACTAATTCAATGTGTTTCCGCGACAAATGATACATCAAGCCCTCGTTGCACTTTGAAATCAGTTACTATACCTTCCACTTCAAGTGAGGCACCTTGTGACCGACTTCCAGACTTTGTCAATCCTATTTCTTCTCAGCTGACTTCGGATGACATCAACTATCTTTCCAGAAAGGGCGCCCTGGATATACCTCGAACGGAATTTCTCGATGCACTTATCCGGGCGTATGTCCGATACTTCCATTGGTTCATGCCTCTTTTGGATCAGAAGGCTTTGTTAAATTGTACAGGTGGCCATTGGCGTCCAGGGATGCCGAGAATCGGCATTTTGCTATTGCAGGCAGTGATATTCATCGGTCTAACATTTGTCGATATACAAGGAATCCACGAAGCTGGGTTCGAATCGAGAAGAGTTGCGAGGAAAGTACTGTACGAGAGAGTGAGAGTAGGTCAAGGGAGTGGATTTTTCGAATTACTCTAACAGTGTCCGCAGCTGCTCTATGAGCTTGATGTAGAAGAAAGCCGCATCGCCATCATTCAAGCGACCCTTCTCATGAGCTTCTGGAATGAAACTCCAGGCGACAATAAAGGCGGCTGGCATTTTTTGGGCATCGCCATATCACTAGCCCTTACACTTGGACTTCACCGGAAGCAAACGTTCTCAAGACCCTCCATGCAGAAACACCTTTTAAAAAGGATATGGTGGTCGTGCTATATGAGAGACAGGATGCTTGCCCTTGGGATGTCCCGGCCACTCAGAATTAAAGACATTGATTTCAATACTCCAATATTGACACTGGACGATTTCGATCTGGAGGACAGTTCCACCGGGGACCCGCAGAACCAGATTCTCGAGCTGCAATGTCAACAAAACCTTGCCGAAATGTGCATTACAATGGCACAACTCTGTGTTGAAATCGGGGCGGTAATCGATCTACACTATTCCATCCTTCCCAGCGATGATTTCGATCATTCTACAGAGGATCTTACTGGCCGAACTACGACGATACTATATCCCAAGTCACAACCAGAGAAGCAAGAGTTAGTCGGGATATGTGATCAATCACTGCAAAGGTGGTTCAATAATAGGCCTATATCAGCCATCTTTCAACCTCTCTATTCAAAGGTAATGGTTGAATCCGCTGCAGTGATGATGACTCACCAGGCCTTTTTGCATGTGTTCTTTTGTGGAACGCTCTCAGCGCTGCATCGTCCACAGGTAGATCCCCGGAAGTCCGATGCTAGAAATATGAACCAGTCGAAGGAAGCCCGGGAGCAATCCAGATTAAGGGTGGAAGAGGCGACCACGGAAATGGCAAAAGTCAACTTCTACATTCACAGATTCCATCTAGGTTCTTTTCTTCCTCCAACCGCCGCTACTTTGGAGTTGCCGGTTATTATTACCCACTTGAAGCATATACAGTACCAAGAGGGCCAGCATCTTGAAACTTGCTTAAAATCAATATTCCATTGTCTGAAAGTGGTGGAACAGATGCAAGAGCTCTATGTTGGTGTTGACTTAGTGGTCAGATTTGCCGCAGATCTCATGAGGAGGGCAAATATCACCGTGACAACTGCACAGGACACGAGAGTCATCGGAGTCAGCTATCGCGAATGCCAGTATCAACTTGATGGAACGGCAAGTGGCGAGCCTGATGCAAATCTGGAGAAATTCATCAGCAAGCAATGTCCTGTTAGAAATCTGTCACATTTGTCTGCATCTCAGTCTTCGCGGGACAGTTCTACTTGGCCGAGAACGACTCCAGGCAACGGTCAGGCGGATGATACGGTAGATGACCTACCAAAAGCACATTGGAATTGTTGGGATGATGTATTTCTTACAGAGAGCCTGGATCTGGAAGCCATATTTCAGTTAATGGTTGATTTCGACAGTCTCAATGACCTGGCTTTAATCTAGCCCAACACTTTCAACATGGTAGGTGCTCGTCATTCTTACGAGCCTGTCTTCGCCGCGGACTCTTCGGCAGAGGCTAGACATGGAAGACATGGATAAAAGAATAGTCACCGGGTTAGTATATATGCGCAGCATATTTTATTGGAGTAGGCTTTCATCAATTTCTGTTTGTTTGTGTACAGCGAGCCATACGACTGGAGATCACTCCACTCAATGAGTGTCGGGAGGTTCAAAATAACGCCTCGAGCGAGAAAGGGCAACGCAAACCTATTAAGAAGTGCTTCACTATTGACAGTTTAGCAGGTATTGATGTAGCTGTAGCCAACAGCACATCTCCTCCAGTGGTGGGCCCTACCGCTGAGGTGCAATTGGGTGCACTTGGGTGCACTAAGGGATTCAACTGCCATCCGAACCTCTGCAGGGACTTGGTTGCCAAGAGAAACAGCAAGCGAGTGTGAAATTTCCGTGAGCGGTCCAGACTTTCCACCCTTCCCGAGACCATCAAGCCGAACTTAGTTCTCTAGTCTTCCGTCCGGCTCACTCCGATTGGGAAATTGTCGCTACAGCAAAGACTCGTGTAGCCTCGAAGAATATTCTCAGATGTATCAATCTCAAGCGGTTGGATTCATCTTCTTGCAGTACGGTTACGGCGTATCAAGGTTTTCGTGCCTCAATCCAATGTATTATTATTGATATTTACTATTAACCCCTCGCCCCTTCCCCCTCGATATCCTCTGTTCTTTATAGTCGGTGACTTCATCGGACTTGTTTACACGGAACTAAAAACAGCCTTAGCTTTTGATTCGTTGAACCGGGTTCATCACGTACCTCTCCACACTCCACCAAAAATATGGAGTACAAGGCGCAGCTCCATACCAGAACTCACACTCCGAGAAATCAGTGTGTTTATCGTATTGATTTTGCCTCTTCGCTATAGACCGGAAAGCTTATGGAGAGATGAGCTAATCGGAGTCTGCCGGGCTCCATCGACTGTTGCTTATGACCAGACTCATTCATTCAAGAAGAGTCAGTCCACAAAATGTTTGAAATATGAAATATGTATAACCACAAACTTAGGACGCAGCCTGAATACAAACTGTGATACTGCGACATTTGCAGAGACTTAAGTTTGTCACGCCCGAGGCTTCCATATATCCCCGAATAAAGACGTTTACCTCGAGCTGGGACATCAACAAAATGCCTTCGGTCTACACCAGCCTACGACTACCAGCTCCCCCGCAACAGATTTGGGACATCTTGACCGATTTCGAACATTACTCCGAATGGAATCCCGTTATCCAGAGCATTTCTGGTGAGCAATGCAGTAAGTTTTCTCATGTACTCTGATAAGTTCAGGACATTGGGAAGCCAGGCTAAGTAAATAAAATAGCAAATGGCCGGCTCCACTTACAGATGAAGAACCCACGAACTTCGAAAGGTAGTGAAAATGGTGTGCATATTTCATTATTCACAGGCTGATCTAGTACTCCAGTAAGAAAATCCGATCCCATCATAAAGAACTGGTCGCCTGTATGCCACCTACATTGGCGAGCACGGCCTTTCGATCTCCCAGGTTTATTTACCGAATATCATCACTTTATCCTCCAGCCGAGCGCGGATGGGATGAGCACCGACTTCGAGCATTTTGAGCTCTTCTCGGGGATATTTGCATATCTCATTAAATACATCAGAAAAATCACATACTCGGACAGGGAAGATGCTTTCAACGCGATGAATGACGCCTTGAAGAAACGAGCAGGGCATCCAAGGAAGTAGGGTACTTTGGAAACATAACACATTTCAGTAAAGCAGAGTCTCTGGATTTTTAGGCAGTGTATTCTGGTAGTGTACTTTAATCCTAGTTCTTGTGAGTATCGTCTCGGTCGCAAGCTAGTTTCTGCTTAGGAACTTTGAAATATGCTAGGTCCGGAAATTAGGCACTCCGATGTATGCAAGATACGGTATTTAAAACTGCACCTTTTTGACCCTGCAGCTGCTAATCCCAATTATTGTCCTCCTTACACAGGCAGGCGGAATGACTAGAAAGTGACGGGGTTTTTCAGAATGGGGTTTATCAATCAGATTTAAATAATGGAGATTTCTCGATGGGGTTTAATGATATACTTTGATGATGGGGGATTCGATTGGTCTGCCTTTCCACGTGGCTTGGAGAAAGAAAGTCGGAGTAAACGTCCTGAGGTAGCTAGCCTCATCTCGCTGCCCATTAACCCCAGACTTCTCCGTACTTCTATTTGTCCCATGGGGATGTATCGGTATGTTCCGGCTGGTACTTCTGCACCCCGCATTAGCTTATCGATGTTATTATGATGAAGAAACGACGAATGATTTTATTCGGCTCCATATATTTATGGATTATGGCTCAGGAAGCTACTGCACGACGTGGCTTTTGGGGTACCCTTCTGTCCTAAAGCTAATTCTACCCGAGTCCCGAGGGTACGGCTAGGTACTTCGTGGGGAAAAAGGGGGCAATCTAAAGGTATATCAATGAAAATCCACTCTTCTACCATGTCTCTTCTTTTGCCTCAACTCGAGTTCTCGTTCCTGAGTGTCGTTGAGCCCTAGCAGTACATTTCCTTACCGATCAACATGATTTCTTTAGTACAATTTGGGGTAAATGACTGGACAGCCCCTACAGTTTCTCAGCGGCTAACACAACAGGTAGATCGTCCTCTTTGTCGGCCTAGGAAGTATTACCTATGGCTACGGGTCCAGCATCATCGCTACGACCACCGGGCAACCTACTTTTCTATCCTATTTTGAACTTGATACAAGGTCAAACTCAGCTGATCTCTTGGGAGCTATAAACGGCCTATTCTCTGTTGGTGGACTGTTTGGTTGTATCTCATGTTTCTGGATTCCTGACAGATGGGGTCGCAAAAAGGCGATTCTGTTTGCCTCTTTTACGTCCATTATCGGTAATGGCCTGGCAGCTGGGAGCGTGCACATTGCCATGTTCATCATTGCCAGATTGATCACCGGCTTTTCTGTGGGGGCGCTGGTGAGTCTCGTTCCATTGTATCAGAGCGAGATTTCCCCTCCCAAGATTCGCGGTCTTCTTGTGGGCATGCATGGAACTGGTATCGCTACTGGCTACGTCGCTGCTAGCTGGATCGGCTTTGGGTTTTATTTTGTCAGCGCAAGTGGCACCCAGTGGAGAATGCCCCTGGCCATCGGGGCATTATGGCCTCTCCTTCTTGCGGTCGGTGTGTTGATGATCCCGGAGTCTCCACGTTGGTGTAAGTTGTCTCAGAGAATGAAGAGCGTCGAACTACTGTCAGCTGACTTTACAAAGTGCTTACAAAGAACCGTCCTGATGAGGCCCTTAAGGCTTTCAAAGCTTGCCGAACCGAGTCTGGGCCCCGAAACGACGAGCATGCTATTACCGAGGAATTTCACCTGTTGCATTCTCAAGTGATTGAAGAGATGAAGGACCATGTGCCTCTGAAGGAGTTCTTCACAAGGCCCGCCCTGCGCAAGAGATGCTGGATCGGTTGGTTGACCATGGTTGCGGGTCAATGTACAGGAACAATTGTTATCAACAGTAAGCAAGCACGTCGGGAGGACAGATGATTCCATACTGATGTACATGCCAGACTACGGGCCTTTTCTTTACCGAAATCTCGGTTTCAGCGTCGTCAACCAGCTTCTAATCCAATGCGGCTGGATTACGGTATGCCTCCTGGGCAATGCTTTCAATGCTGCAGTCATTGATTACTTCGGGAGAGTTCGAATGCTACGTGAGTACAAATCTCCGGAACAAATGTTCTGGCTAATTCTTCCTAGTCTTCGGATTTTCTGGAGATGTTATTGCTCTCGCGGGCGAGTGTGCCGCAGTCGCTGTCTACCAACATACTGGATCAGCCGCTGCTGCCAAAGCTGCCGTGTTCTTCCTCTTCCTCCACATTGGATTCTACGGATGGACAATTGACGCCAGCACGTATATATACGCGACGGAGATTTTCCCCAATCCTCTGCGTGCCCGCGGTATTGGAATCTCCTGTTCTGGTTTGTTTATGGCTGTTATCGTCTTTACTAGGTGAGTTTACGAGCAGAAGCGTCGGACACCCATTTTGCTGATCGATCTGGGATAGTGCTGCTCCGACGGCGTTCAACAAAATTGGCTGGAAATATTACCTCGTTTTCACTATCCTTACCGCTCTAAACGTCGTCATCATCTGGTTCTTCTTCCCAGAGGTAAGTTTTTCAATCCAACTATCCTTGCGAAACTAGCTAACTATGAGCTAGACCAAAGGCTTAGCCCTTGAGGATGTAGCCGAGATTTTCGGTGACGGTATTGTGCTCACAGACACCCGCGAAGAGCAGATCCACCAGCGCTTCAAGCAATCTCACTATCGCACCGAAGTGCTTGATGAAGTGACGCATGACGAGGATATCCAAATTCAGATGAAAACCGAAGAAGCGAAGGTTGAACATATACCATGAGAAGAGAAACAAGGATGTCTTCCTCTGGAAAGCCTTGAGGCTATGAATATTTGAGCAACCTCACCGAAAGCCAGAGCCTGGATGCTAAGGGATGTATCGCGAGTAATGCCTAGTTTCCTCGTACGTGAGGCAAAAGGGATAATAGAAGCAGCGACTAGAAGCAGGGTTGATGGTGCGTAGGAACGATACAAACGTAAGCCTACTATCCACATGAAATTCGCACTGGCTGCTCTCGAGCTGGAGAAAAAAAACCAGATGCTCTGAAGGTGATGCACGAGGTGCTGCTGCGGTGCTACATGCCCGTTGAGCCCGTTGAACTTGTAAGGTGGTGAATGATCTCCGCAAGAATGGTAATTATCGGACTTCAAAAGCCGAGGATGCTATTTAGACTACGCTAGCGCAGCCGAGATTTCTATCACTTTCCTGACTTAGGTAGTCACTGGCGAAAATCCCCATCCGCGTTTACGAACCTTGAGTTCACTCCAGACCTTGGGGGGGAACCGAGAAGTTCGCCATCAGTAATAGATTGCGAGATTTTATCTAATCTCCCATTATTCCAGATTTTACTGCTCTTGTCCCTTTGACAAGACTTCTGCTTGCAGCGAAAGTACACGCTTATGGCGTTCACCTTCTATGATAGTGAGTGGCTCGGCCAACATTCTTGCTCTGGAGGGCATGCCGAGGTATGTTGTAGTTTTTCCGGCTTGCCATCTTGATAATTCCTGTTGTGACCTAAACTTTCACCTTTTCGTCAATTTCGTGAGCATCCTCTTGCTTCTTGTGAAAGCCATGCAATCATGGAGAAGGCTTCAGAAGGCTTTCTGTTGCCAAGCGCCCATGTGGCTCAAGGCCCGCTGAGTGCGACCACGTGTGAGTGTAATTATGAGCGGTCCCACGACGCATTAACGCTCATCAAATACCTGAAACCCAAGATAACTTGCACCCAGAGATACCCGAACCGCAGGCTCTTATGCGTGATCTCTAGGACCGTTTTGCAGGCTTTCCGGGCATATGGCCGCGATATCGTCTGAGCTCACAGGTCTACCGCCGACTCTGTGCGAGTATCTAGAGACAGTGAGTTGGGATAATCCGAGTTACAGGATTTCGAGGGGTTTGATGTCGATTGGCGGCTGACATTACCATAGAGATTCGAATACTTCATCAACACTCAAGACTTCTTCCTGCGAATGCCTTCCGCCAAGTACGAGATTATCCAGATGCGACTTATCATCCTCCCAACCCTAAGACTCGAGCAGCTGTATTCTCAGCACCAAATTCAATGTCCGTTCTCAGCAACTGGATCCGGGGACATCAAGATCAAGCGAAGTGACCTCAAGCCTGACAATCAGATCAGATGCCAAAACCTGAAAAGGCTGGTCCTAGTTTCGTAGATCGCAAATTCACAGTCGATGAAGAGCTTAAACATTAAGGCATTTCGGTATGTTCAGGCTGGAAGAGGGAACATTCGTTGCTCTGTTGCTTTGAAGCTTCATAGGGACTCGCAGGAGGTTGATCTGACGCTAGCGACACCCAAATTCAGCTCCAGCGGCCAATCGACAGTTTTGACAGCGGAATAACTTCTAAAGTGCGTTGCACGCCTGCTGCAAGACTCGTCTATAAATAACCTTGTACTAACATCTGAGCGCAGGCGATTCGAAATGCAAAAAGAGAACCTAGTAGTGGCGGTTGCCTGTCAATTTTAGTGGGCCAGGTTGCGCCCGTTGGATTGTTGCCTGACTTCATTTATCGCGAGGCCATCATTGCTTCAGTCGAAGTGCTTTGCAAGATCATCTAATCTGCTGAGATTCTGAGAAGGCAAGTAAAGAGACATTACTGCAGATTTCGTCCACGATTTTTTTTTTTTTTTGCCACCCAGCCCGACGTCGATTGATATGGATCAGGAAGACGAGAATACCCTCTCCATCCATAGAGATATGTAAGGCAAGAGAACTACCTCTGATGATACCGAGTTTAAGTCGAGTCGAACACGATACTCCGGCATGCCATCTCGATCGGCTATCAGGCCGCGAGCGAAAGGGAACTACTAGTGTGCCTGACCCATAAAGTCCGTACAGAGTATGGAATTCAGAATCGGCTGAATAAACCTCCAAGGGTGGGGTTCTGAAGAATAGTGTGGTATTTCTAGAGGGGTATTGCCTCAATGGCTTCAAAATGGCGGTACACAATTCACTGCTGTGCGAGGCCCATCGAACCTTGTAGCGATCTTAGCCACTGATTGCACGACGCGGACAGTGTCACAATCACAGGTTTCCAGAAGTACAAGTAGTCGAAGTGTCCTATGAGGAAATTTAGGCAGCAAGTGCAGGGGCAGTGAATCAGCCAGGTTCCTAGACGCCCGTCTGGAATGACAGATGCCTACCGAGGTAGCTGAGAGACAGGTATAGCCGATTGCTAGGGGGCCTGATTTGGCCCTCGTTGCTCAGGGAGCGCTCGGTGCTCTTCGGCTAAAGGCTCAGTCAAAGCTCGGGTTGAAGCAGCCTAGTAGCCATTAGATACGTCCCACGATGGTTAATTTCATTTACAACACAACCACCACAATATCCCTAGTGTACTCGGTGTTGATCCGGTCTTCCCACCTGTCAATCTGCACGGGACACTCCTTCATCCATGCGACCCGAAATCCGAAATGACGCGGTACATCACTTTCGAGCGATCATTGCCATGCTTGTGTCGAAGCCGAAGCAAGTACAGAGAATGCCTTGTTCACATTGCCGCTGACCTTTAGCACAGCTAGGAGTGTCAGTCTTCACAAGAGTTTGCAGTCCTTCCAGAGCCAACATGTTGGAGCATTTGGCGTTGGCTTGAGCCCAATGAGATGGATCAACTGTCCTGAAAGCAGTGCGCGTCGAAGGTCGAGGGAAACAAGACCAGCCCTCAAGGTTTCGCAACCGCCTCCGAAAAACTCAATGACCCCCTGGACCAGAGTCTTGCAAAATCCCTTGTCAGTTCGGCTCAATCGGTGTACTTGGGGCGGTGGCCTTCACCGTAAGCCCCAATATGCCAGTTCTTATTGCGCCGTTGCAGCAGATCATCCGGAATTTGCCAAAAGGGGAAAGGGGAAAGGGGAAAGAAGAAAAAACAGCATTCACCCGAAAGGCAGAGCCCATCACGATATAGGAGTCCGCTTAGATCTGCTACACAATCTGGATTCTGACCGCTGCTTCGGTTACACGAGTCACTTGACAATATTGTGCCCTGGGGTCCGTCACCGCGAGGTACTAGGAAAGAAGTCTTGTTTTCCAGGACCACAAGAAATACGGTTGAGATTGCCCCAATCTATTCAGCGTTCCAAAGTTCTCATGAGGCCGCATAGCTCTGAGAGAATCTATTCCGTCAATGCCGACTCCGAAACGAAGCCAATAAGGCTGAAGGCCCAGCTCACTGAGACCACTGCTGCAATGCTACCGAGTGTTGCATCGTGCTAGCGTAACTGGTCTCGGAATCTTGCATCGGTAGGCAACTGTCGCTTGTGTATACGTGCAGTCAAACCACTCGCCATTCCGCTACTGGTTGATGCCTGTGGATGAGGGCGGGTTCTCATCGACTCCTGCGTACCGTGACGTTTCTAGTGAATGAACGATCCTATTCGCCTTGTTTAAGCGATTCAAGAGACAGTGATGTGATACTGGAAGCAGGGTCTGAAAGTATACGGATTGGGAACACTGTCAGAGACCAGAACTTGTCTCCAACCTTCTCTATATCCTGCTCAAGGCATTGTGAACATTTGCCATGAGAACTCGAGCCAATAACGACAGCACGGCTGGACCTATTCTGAGTCACCAAGCAGTTCTGAAGCAGTTGTCCTTGTTATGCAGCAACTAGCTCAGATTAGCACGCGCTCTTCCCTGGTCCCAGTTACCAGGATGCTTTCCGAGACCTCTCTTTATCCACGACAGAAATTACCTTTCGGTTCTTATCGCAGCTACCTGGACCGCTGAGCTGCTGCAGCCTTGATGAAAGCCTCACTCAGACAACTAGGGTACCTTCGGACAACGCGTCCAGTCTCCACTCTTCAGACTAGGATACCATCAGAGCTTGCCATAGACATATACCTGCTCATTCATGCAGTGCGACATTGTTTTGGATCACCGGCAATTCGAGTCACAACCACAGTGACGGAATTCTCGCAATTCGAGTGAGGTCTTCTAGCCACATGTTGCCAATTTCAGAAGAGTTCAATCTCGCCTTCCACAGAATACCCTGCTTTCCCACACTCGGTGGCAAGATATTGGTCCGTTCCTCAATGGCGCATGCACCCGATATTGGCCAGCCATTGTTGCAATGGAATGTTTCTTTTCTGGCGGCTGGCGAACACAGAACGCGAAACACAAAGTTAGGAACCATGTACACGTTCCTGCTTTCGGTGTGCAACGTCTCGGATCTTCCACGAAAGTATAAGTATCAGCAAGTTCCTAAGAAATCATTCATCAAGCAGCTCGACAGGATTCAGTCCGTCTTCCACTCGTTTCAAATAGCATTTGAAAGGGCATCAAGGCTTCTCATCCATCATGTATCGTGGTCTTGTGCAGTCGGCTCTACTTGCCAGCTCTGCCTTGAGGTATGCTTCTGTCCACTGCGCTTCTTAAGACCTGCTCACACATATATTTAGTATTTTTGCTGCCGCGAATCCGGTACTGCCTCGTGCCGACTCTTCGACCGGTTGGGGAACTTCCACTGGCTGGGGCTATGGGTCTGGTGTCGGGAGCACACCCGTTGGAGGATGTTCAGCGGGCCCTACGACTACCTTGACAGTTACGTTCCCGGGAGGTCCAAGTTCTTGCCCAGCTCTTCCGCCGCCATCTACAATCACCGTGAGCACTTGTCCTGGAACCACCCCAGTAGGTGGAGTTACCGGCTGTTCAAACTCGCCTCCCTTCACAATTACGGTCACGACTGGAAGCCAATGCCCACCCACCACACCAGTTGGGCCAGGAAACTCTTGCCCGACTGTGCCGCCCTCTACTATCACTGTAGGCTCCAATTGCCCTCCAAGTCAACCATGCAGCGTACCATCAACAATCACAGTGACTGAGAGACAGAACTGCCCTCTGCCCACTGGTGGAAGCACCACCACTGTCACAGTGACCAGCCCGTCAACTTGTCCAGTCTGCTCGCCACCCAGCTCCCCTGTTGGCCCTTGTGCTACCTCGACCGTGGTAAGCACTCTGACTTCTACAACAACAGTGGGCGGTGGAATCTCAACAACCACAGTTATTATCCCGGCCCGGACCATCACCGAAGGCACCACCGTTGTTTCCACCATTCTCGGTCCTGGCGAGACTACTACCGTCTTCTCTACCATCCCAGGTCCAGTTCAGACAACCACTCTGGTATCTACGGTTCAAGCCCCTAGCCAAACTGCCACTGTTGTTTCCACGGTTCAGGCTCCCGGCCAAACCACCACAGTTGTGTCCACAGTTCGCGGCCCAGTTGAGACCACGACCGTTGTTTCAACAGTTCAAGTTCCAGCTTCGACTACTACAGTCATTTCGACAGTCCCAGGCCCTATCCAGACACAAACCGTCACCACCACAGAGGTTGGGCCAGGACAGACGTCCACTATCACACGCACTCTCACAGTGCCAAACAGCCCTCCATCCACAGTGACGACCACAGTATCCCAGCCTTGCGGCATTGGGCAGACAGTCACCGTCACTGGACCAACGTAAGTTTTATCTTGCTGAAAGCACTGTCATCTAAAATTGCCATCGCTACAGCCCCTTCGATCCTCACTGCAGGCTAACGGGTATTTTCAGGACGACTGAGAAGTGTACGAACATCGGTCCAGGCCAGACTGTTACAGTCACCGGTCCCACTGTGACCACCGGGCCTACCACGTAAGTTTCTCTCTGACATAAAGCTTTATCATCCTTGGACGAGATTTCTCTTTCGACGCCATCAAATCTAACCACGACTCACAGCACGATTACCACGACGGAGAAATGCACCAACGTGGGACCAGGGGCTACCTCAACCTGCGCCACCATCACGAAGTGGTCGACGATTGGAGGCGGATATGGTGGCGACTACTCAACTGACGCTGCTGGCGCTGCTTCAACTACAGGCTGGAGCAAGTATGGATGGAGAAGACAATGATAATGTTAATGATTGAATGCAGAGATGCCAAAGACGAAGAATCGGATGAGATGCTTTAAAAACCATAACGGGTAGACGCCTTCCTCAAGACACTGTTCCCACCCTTGTCATTCCTTCAGTGTCGAGGCAGGTTGAACAAATTCTTGGGACAACATACAGGATATAATGCAGATGTGATGAATTTGAGCAAACCCAGCCCTCTACAAGAAAGCCATCAACTATGAAGTCCTATTTTAACAAGCACTTACACCATCTCCTCTCTGCGGCGCTTGCAGGATGATGATGTTGTTCTATTGGTCTGAAACTACACACTGACTGTGGCTCTTAAACTTCGTTGCTTTCTTTCCATCTCGCTCGGGGGACAATCCTCTGCCCTCCCTTTCAAAGTATTGATGCAAAACGCACAGCCGCCAAACGCGATCAGAACTAGCGACGCGCCCCAACCACAAGTACCTAGTACAAGGTACTATTCTCATGGCATGAGCATGTCGCCACCAGCTTGAAAATGTGATCCTTTCACGACGGTCAACGGGACGAAGGCTGCGAAACCCCACACAAATCAAGCAATAGCGGGCGGCAAATGGAAAATATAATAAGATCAGTGAATCGATGCATCTACTTGTAGTGCCATGGAAAGGCAAATAACTTGTTCTTGCAAAGCCTTGGGTCGCATCTCCTGATGCGTAGTGCATCCAAACCGCAAGCGGCGCCACCAGCGCCTTGGCAGATATGACGTGTTTTGCGCACATGGTCGGAATCGTGATTGGCGGGGCGACAACTGCGGCCCAAATTTTCTACTGTACCATGCGCTTCTCGAACCTTACCAACAAAAACCCCCCTCTACAAGTCTGGAAGGAATCTTGTATCCTTTTCCTTCTCTATTATTCTTCTGCCTGGGCTATATAACCCAAAGTGCATCACTCTCCAAGCACTTGCCAGTATCAACGAACCAGACTACATCACACGCAGTCATCCAACTTGACGGGAGTTGATTCGTTTTTGCCCCACCAAAAAGTCTTTCCTTCGTCGACTAGGCCGCGTTCCCAATCGATTCTTTCATTCATACCTCTTCACCATGCCCGTGTCCGCTTCGAAAGCTGCCCGCCTGGCCAAAAAGGCTGAGAAAGCGGCCGAAAAGGGTGAAAAGCCCGAAAAAAAGACCGTTGCCTCCAGGCTTTCCTCGAAGGCAAATTCCAAGAATCCCTCGACAAACGGCTCGAAAGCCTCGTCAATCGCCGGTGATGACGACCCACCTATGCTGGACGAGGACGAGGAAGATGCTCCCGCCACGAGCGCTGACAAGATGGACAAAGTCAAGAAGTTGACCGAGCAAATGGATAGGCACGGTCTCTCCGATCGAGTCACAACCGGTGTGCTTGCCTCCCAAGAAGCAAGTCGGGATGTCAAAATAAATTCCGCCTCTCTCGTCTTCCATGGTAAGGTGCTTATCACCGATTCCACCATCGAGGTCAACTTCGGTCGAAGATACGGCCTGCTTGGCGAGAACGGTTGTGGCAAGTCCACCCTACTAAAGGCCATCGACAAGCGAGAATTCCCATTTCCAGAACACGTCGATATCTACCTGCTAAACGAGGGTGCACCTCCCACCGACATGGGTGCTCTCGAGTGGGTCATCAAAGAGGCTGAGAAGGAAGTTAAGAGACTTGATGATCTAGCTGAGGAGATTTTGGAAAAGGATGGACCTGAAAGTCCCACACTCCTGGAAATCTACGAGGTAAGACTGCTGCAACGGGTCCGAAGGTAATTCATACTAACGAATAATAGCGTTCAGAAGCCATGGACCCGAGCACTTTCGAAGTTCGAGCCTCCCTTATTCTCACTGGTCTGGGTTTCAACAAGAAAACCATCCACAAGAAGACCAAAGACATGTCTGGTGGTTGGAGAATGCGAGTGGCGCTCGCTAGGGCTCTCTTCGTTAAGCCATCCCTCCTCCTGCTGGATGACCCGACAGCCCATCTTGACCTCGAAGCATGTGTGTGGTTGGAAGAGTATTTAAAAAAGTGGGACAAGACTCTGATCTTGGTCTCGCACTCGATGGATTTTCTGAACGGCGTCTGCACGAATATGATCGACATGCGACACAAGAAACTACTCTACTACGGCGGTAACTACGATTCCTACATCAAGACCCGAACCGAGCAAGAGACCAATCAACAAAAGGCATACCTCAAGCAACAGGAAGAAATTGCTCATATTAAGAAGTTCATTGCCTCCGCCGGCACATACGCCAACTTGGTCCGGCAGGCAAAGTCAAGGCAGAAGATCTTGGACAAGATGGAAGCAGATGGATTCATTCAACCCGTCGTTTCAGATCGAGTGTTCACGTTCAGATTTGCCGATGTCGAAAAACTCCCCCCTCCAGTCCTGTCCTTTGACAGTGTCACTTTCAGTTATTCTGGGAAACCGGAGGACAATCTCTATGAGAACCTAGATCTGGGTGTGGACATGGACAGCAGAATGGCCCTCGTGGGGCCTAACGGTGTGGGTAAATCGACATTGCTGAGAATCATGACCGGTAAACTCTCTCCTACCGGCGGCTCAGTAAGCAGACATACCCATTTGAAACTGGGACTCTATTCGCAGCACTCGGCCGATCAACTCGACTTGACCAAATCAGCCCTCGATTTCGTCCGAGACAAGTATTCTTCTACCTCTCAGGATTACCAATATTGGCGGCAACAACTTGGTCGATACGGACTCTCCGGTGATGCGCAGACTGCATTGATGGGGACACTGTCCGAAGGTCAAAGATCTCGAGTTGTCTTTGCTCTCCTGGCCATCGAGGGTCCTAATATGCTCCTTCTTGACGAACCTACCAATGGTCTTGATATCCCTACCATCGACTCCCTTGCTGACGCTATAAACGCCTTTTCCGGCGGTGTCGTGGTCGTTTCTCACGATTTCAGGTATGTCCAGCCCCTGCCAGACATGAGTCATTGAACAAGCTAACTTTATTGCAGATTGCTTGACAAGATCGCCAAGGACATCATGGTGTGTGAAAACAAGACCGTCCGACGGTGGGACGGGACGATAGGAGAGTACAAGAACTACCTCCGGAAGAAGATGGTTTCAATGGGTCAGGTCTGAGCTTCCGTCCCTGCACTGAAAGCCTGCTCCTCTTTTCTCGTCCGTCCCCTTTTCCTCTTAAGGTTCGAAAAGGCACGGGGATATTTTCCTTTTTGATTTGATCTCGAATACGACGTGGGTGGTCTTCCACCTGATGGATGTTTATGACTGATGTGCACCATCTTTATTACTGATTCCATGCAGACAAAAGACCACATAGCACCACAGGTGTTGAGGATAGACGGGCGTGGATTGGCATATTTTGATTGAAAGTAGGAGGGAACGAAGAACAGCAGGTGACGCTCCGTGTACTGTGCTCTGAATTCTGGTGTGTTGTGTCCCTCGGATTCATGTCATCGGACCGGTATGACACGGAGAGACTGCCGGCCGGAGTACATGGTTGTTGAGGAGCCCCAAGATCGTGGACCACGCATCTGTTCTCTACCTTCAATGTTCGGCCGGATGTATGTACGGCTAAGGCATTCGCGATAAGCCTGTCGCGTGCAGAGACATAGACCAAACCTGAAAGGCACAGTTTCTCATCGGACACAATCGTCGTTTTCCATTCCAAAGGTTTCCCCACTTCTCACGAATTTCTCCTGTTGGATCAGGTGCTTGCAAGCACGCCCGCGCCATGGAATCCATACAATGGTCAGAAACACACGCGTCAAGATGAGGAGAATTAGTCAAGTACATGTACATAAGACGGCATCAACTCCGCATCTCATCCTCATCTCCGCGCTACATGACGTACGGCAACCTCCCAAATACCAGAGTTGGGACTTTATACATTGCTTCGATTCTGCATCTGAGTTCATCTGCTGGTATCATCACACTATATTCATTCTTTCCTTCCACTATCTGGATGATCCATCCTGTTCTTTTTCCATCTTTATTTCGGTCCGTTCCCATTCCAAGCACAGAGAGATTGGACGAATAGAGCTACCATGGCCTCCCTCGGTAGTGGCGAACAGCAAAATCCGCGCCCGGTCCAAGTGACGAGGGCCGATCAGGTCAAGGCAGGGCATGGACAGACGGATGGCATGATCCGGCAGGTATGTGCAATCGCATTTGCTTCGACGATTGTTTGCAGTTGAGTCCGGAAGGAAGCGCCGTTCGACCAGAGAGGAGCCAATATGGCGGAGTTTGGAAGTAAGAGCCAATGACGGACAGCAGAGCTTCGTTGTGGCGCCCTGACATCTCTGTAAACCGTAGAAAAGAGGCACATATGGTCATGAGACTTCTATCCAGATTGAATTGGGGAGATAACAAGAGAGGATTTGTGTCTACACGAGCCAGACGCGCAAAAGAAGATGCATCAGATGAAAGCTCGAAGTCTTTTACACCTCGCCTTGCATCACTCCTTTTCCTCGCCACCCCATGGCCGCGCTCAGCCCTCTTTTCTTCACTATCTTACAGACTGACTTACTTTTACCTGCAGTCCGCTATCGTTGAGCTATCTCCTTCCATCTGTGGCACGTTAATGCGTGCCCAGCCGCACTCCGCTTCCGCAGTCCACCATCACGGCAAACAAGATACCGTCGTCTACGCTGTCAGCGGCTATGGCTCCCTTGTGTCATCTTCGGGCAAGGGGAAAGGCGGTCCGTTTGGGGACGTCAGGCAAGATCTCAAGCCAGGAGATTGGGCACTGATCCCCGCATACAGGGAACATCAGGAGGTAAATGATGGAGACGAAGAGGTTGTCTGGGTCATTGTGCGGGCGCCGGGAGGAATTCCAGTCGTCGAGAACTTGAACGGGTGGGGAGAGAGCTTGAAGACGTAGCAGCTAGAGCCGATTCAAAGGGGCGAGAACACATGTCTGAGGTTGCCCGAGTTCAACTCTTGGTGACTGTTGGATTGACCGACTATTGCAACGAAGCCAAATTCACTCAGTCTCTGCCAATAAGTTTGTGGAGCGGGCAACTGATCTCGCGTCGCTGATAAACACTCATTATGGACTTGATTTACTAGTCCCTCGGATCTTGTATCCCATCGACATCTCACTTTACTTGTTGGTCCTCTCTGAATGCTCTGCATATATGTCGGAAACCCCAATTTCTTCATGACATCTTGAACAGCTCTCTTACTCCCCCTCCCGCTAAGTGATATGCAGCAGACTCGACCTCTTAGGTTCCATGTGGGTAATAGGCGTAGTCGAGATGCGGACATGGCACTGAGTCAAACAAACGGTTGCTGACACACGGAACCGGTCGGACCACTGGGCCACGAATCGGGGACTGGATGTTAAGGCGCGACAGTCGGCAAAGGACATGGGAGAGTCAAGGGTAGAGCGGAGAGCCAACACGAGATACAGGAAGGGAGTCGTGCCCAAAAGTGCCCAGTTCAACAATTCAGGCAGTTGATGGGGTTTAATAGTCCACAGTAGTGGCATTTAATTTCCAGACAACACAGATCACGGATCCGTCCTCCAATATGGTCGGACGCTGCACTGATTGAAAATTAGGCCACGGAGGCTCATACCTCGTTTTCATCATGGCTTTCTAGATCTTTGTCCTCATCCTCTTCATCCATGTCGTCTCCTTCATCATCGTGCTCATCCTGTTCCTCCAACTCTCCCCCTTCACCACCTGCTCCTCCATCCCAACCAGCTTCATCAACCTCCACCTCACCTTTCAAGTCCCAGCGGTCACCTTTAGCGGCCTGGCTCACATATTTGACAAACCTCAGTGTGCCTTTGTCCCTGAGCACGATACTTAATTTATTCCAACTGGGAGGGTTGGTGAACAGGATTCCGTCATCTTCATCATCTGCAGATCTGTAGATCGCAGGATCATGGATTGGCTTTTTGCCGACGCTTGGCAGGGATTTCGGGTTGGTCTCACTAGGTAGCCCATCTTCGTCCTCATCGCCTGCCATGTAGACTTCCTCGCCGCCGAATTCGACTTCGGGGGACGTTGAGACTTGGATCTTTTCCTCTGCCGTGGCCTTGCCACTCCTCTTTTCCTTATCCTCGACACCATCGCGGAGGGACGGACTGCCGTTGGCCTGCCTGATGATGCCAGTTGCCGGTTTGCCATTTTCTTCTCCTCCCATATCTCGATCGTTTTCCCATCCCTCACTTGGCGTGATTGAAATGGTGAATTCCAGTTTTGGTGTTTCGCCTTGGTAAGGGCTTGCTAGTGCATAGTCATTCCCTCGTCGAAATCTGCGGGCTATCGCGCTTTGGCGGATGAGGCTGTTCGTCTTCAGTCCCGTCACGAGGGCCAGCCACTTCTTGAAAGCATGGGAGTGTATCAAGTCAGCTAGGATCCGGGAGATTGGACATTTGTCACGGTGCAGGGCCTCTGTAGTTTGGAGGTAAGCATAGCGTTGTTTGTGGGGTGGACGAGCAATTTTCCAAGCCGAAGGATGATGAGACTTCGATGCCGGCGGGACTGCATCTCCCTCTCCAGCTTCAACCGTAGAGATGTACTCCTTTAGCTCGGCTGCGAATGTTGCATTGAAAAATTCCTCGAGCTGCAGGACTGACATGTCGGCGAATGAAGATGAGAAATCTTCGATCATGTCCGGAGTCAGATAGCTTGGTGTCATATAATGAAGCAAAAACGTCAAATCTTGCTCAGTGAGTATGTTTTCCTCGGCATCAAGATCATCGCCGGGGTCAATCTCCCTCGCGGCAGCGCGACTGTCCATAACGATCCGCGGTTCGTCGAAATGACGGAACACCAACTGAGGCTCGTCAAATTCATTCGAGGCGCCCTTGAGCTGCGCAAGACTGGATTTCTGGGCCTGTTCCTGCTCCATGCCCTGTTCAAACCCATCCTCACCCTCCTGTGGAATGTGAAACCAGCCACTGATAGCCATGCGGATTCTCCCTCCATCCGCTCCCGGATTTTGGCCGTGGTAGACTTCTTCTACGTCGTGGTAGCTCTCGCCGGGCCGAACGGCAAAGAAGCTCAATTGACCAAAGGACGGTGGAATGTTCAAGCTATGTTCAGCGAGAGGGACCTTGATCTCCTCCCCAACTTTGTTCCTTTTTGTCTCTGTAGGATACAACCTCAGCCCTCCGCCCCATTCGGGTTGCCAGGGATGATCCGGGTCCGTCAGATACAGAATATAGCTGACTCTCCGGCTTCCAATCACATCATCGTGGCACAACAGATAACTGCCTGGTGTGTAGACATTGACTGCCATGTCAGTCTTTTTACCGGACACTTTGCCCGCCCCTGTGACGATAGACACCCATTCTCGGAATTCAGAGCTGTAAAGAGCATCTCTCAGACGAACAAGGCTGGGCAGGTGTTCAAGGGACTCGGCATCAAGGTTGGAGAGATTCGCGAGATCGCCGGATTGGTAAATGCGATATATGTCGGTCTCTTTCAGAGTGAAATGGATATGGGTGGTAATTTCCTGCCGGACAGAGCGGAGAAGACGCTCTTGGATCAAAGAGGGGACGACGGCATGAGGATAAGGCTTCGACAACCGGTAAGACTTGCGGAAAGCTTCTTGGGTATCGCGTTCGAAGAGGCCTGGTCGGAAGGCCGATTGAACGCTGTTGTCATCGGCAGAGATAATGCGCTTTTTCAGAGGAGACTCGCCCTCTTCGAGAGCTTTACGTTTCATCTTGCGACGAGACAATGTTCAATCTGCCCAACCGTGAGAGCGAAAACAGAGGCGTGATAAAAGTTGGTGCATAATTTGGTCGAAGCGGAAAATATCTGTGGGAAACGAGTGCGGGCGGAGCATGCTCAGACCACTTACAACTTTTGTTTCCCCACCAGGTCAAACAGCTTGACTGCAAACTACAGAGTATTAATGAATAGGGGCAACACGGGGCAGAACGCATTAGTTGTCTAGATAATGTTTTATTAAAACCATATCCCAAATTGCCTAAGACTGAATAATACATGCCTGATTTCATGTAATAGTCCAATATTGCCGGCAACCCCAAAGTTTGTCCAGAGGGTATCATCTCCCGTACGGAAAATGCGCTCAAAATACTCATTAATCGTAACCCTACCAAACGAGATGGCAGCGATGAGCTCGACATTTTGTCATGAATGGCCCAATAGATCATGAAAGCTGTATCCTTGAAATGCCCCCGGTGAGAGTATAGGCAGTTCCAAATCAAGTTTATAGCGTTGCCTTCCATTTCTCCTTCTCTTTACCAATCCTGCCGAAAGGCCTATGAAACTTGGCCTTTGTGTTTGCAGCATGGTTAGCGAACTTGGGACTCGATGGCGGCGGTTGATTAACGTCTTGCACTTCCCAAGGTGTCACATCGTCACTGAAAAGCATACTTGCCCTCAATCCCAGCCGATCGCGAGAGCTGTCGGGTCGCTTCTCCAGGTCTTGTTGGATCCGCGATCGACCTGACTCCCAGTTTTGGACTGCTGGATCTGCACTGCCATGACCACCGATGTCATCGGGTAACACCAGCTCTTGAGCCTCTCCCGCCAGAAAGGCGTTGTTGAATTTTGTTCCTGATTTTTTCTTCGCGACAGTCGGCGAACTCAGTACACCAGGTCCAGAGGACACCAAAGCCGCTGTCAGACTAGTAAACTCGTTCGCGCCTTGTCGCGATGGTGAAAGCGGTTCGAGGTGCAATGCAATGGGCGGGCAGGCGCCTTGAGAAGTTCCGGAGGCTGAGATAGGGTACAGCGGAGAAGCTTTGACGACGGGCAAAGATTGGGACCGCGCAGACTCCATCCGAGTATCAATGTAGCGAGACTCAGCTCCGATAGCAGCGCCGGCAGGTGACTTAGAGGATTCTCCTCCTTCAATGCGATATCGATTCGTAATGGGAGACTTAGGAGTTTCGTCTTCTTTGGCAGCTGATCCTGCAGATTTCACATGAGTGGAAGGCAATTGGCCCATGGCTATGGGGCTGCGAGGCTCCAGTGCCACATCTTTGCAATGTGGATATTGTGATCTTGTACCAGCCGAGCTAGATCCACGGCGCGGATAAGAGAGCGTTGCTGAGGGGCTTTCGATCAGACTAATTGCGGAAGGTGGTGTTAGTGACGGGGGAATAGTCGAGGCATCCATTCTTTGCTGCGATGCCAGATCGCCGGATGAGCAGACCGACTGGGCAAAAAACCGCGCACGAGAGGAAGCGCTCTGCGAGCAACTTGAGTTGCCATGAGGACCAAAGGAAGAGCCGGTTGTTGAACTCGAATTTCGGCTCCCCACATTCGTGCGTCGTTTATCTTTCCCATCGTCGCTGCGAGCCTTAGATTCTGAGAAGAAAAAGGATTCTTTCTTGGCTCGGTCCTTTTCTTTTTCCTTTTCTTTCCTTTCTCTTTGCTTCGCGCTCTCTGGGATTCCATCCCATTTTGAATTGACTTTAGGCACAAAATGTGGCATCTTCTCCAACCTCACATTAGGAACTTTGGTAGCGCTTGTTGACCCGTGCTGAGCAATCATCTGGGCAGCGACCTGATCCAAGGCAATTTGAGTTGGCTCCCGGACTTGAAACAACCCGCCGAATATAGAGGGTTTCTTCTTTTGGGGTGCGGCGTTCGATTTGCGTTGTGTCTGGTGCGAATTCTGGGCCGCCTTAACTACTTGGCTTGCTAGAGATTCTTTTTGGGCAGCCTCCCGAAGCTCGCGAATAGTAAGACGCGGCTTTTCTAATTTGGACTTTGCGTCTCGATCACCTTGCCCCGGCATTTTGTCTTTATCTCCTGGCATCGCGACATCTGGGATGTGATTTCGGCTCGGACCACTCACATCGCGCAAGGGCGAAGAATCTCGGTGTAGCAACCCATTGGATTCACCTTTCCAACTTTCCGGCTCTTCTATGCTCAAGGGAGCTGTTGACATGACCACAATGATGTGGCCAGATGCTGGTTGCGGATCGAGTTGGGGGAACGCCTACCCTGACATGGCGATGACTGAGGGGATGTCAAACGCGCCAACGAGCGTAGTCGCGTACGATAATGCCAGGGCGGCCCGGCCGCAGACGAGGTGTGGTGAGTCGGATGTTATTGAGGCTGCGAACTCCCAGATACGCCCCACGAAGTGACTTGGTTCCGGGGAGCTGGAGAGTGGGAGGGCACAAAGGAACCAAAACGGAGCAGTCGCGCGCAAACTGGGTGCAAGCAGAAGTTGGCAGGTCGAAGGAGTAAGTCGACGAAGCGAATCAAGATGATTTAATCCCAGGCGAAGGAGGGTATAGCGTTGCGAGGCAGGGTTCTGCGAGAAAGCAAGCTAAACGTTGGACTTGGCCGTTGACTTAGAGATCATCTCGGATCGTCGATGGCAGATTGGCAAGACTTGGGAGGGGGTTTGCCAGTTGCGGATCGACCTGTCATTCTGGCATCCTCGGCGAAGAATTGAGCTGGCTCACTGGGAAACGGCTCTGGCCGTGGGGATTGGGAACGCACATCATGGACAAATGGAGGTAGAGGCTGAAGCCAAGGCAAGACCAGCAAGGGCATGACGCTGGGAACAAAAGAGGAGGCACGCGTTGAGCTGCAATAACGGAACAGCCGGGGGGGTTACCCAGTACAAGGGACGTGCCACTCAATTCTCAACAGGGCGGATAACACATGCGAGCAACGAGCAACGAGCAACGAGCAACAGAAGGGGAGAAAATGCTGGTGATGATCAGCAGGAGAACAAGCGCCAAAAGCAAGGACCAAGCAAGAGAGTTGGATTGATTGGCTGCTACCTCCAGCTACAAGCGCATTTTGCCCAGATCAGCCAGATGAACCCTGTCACCACCATCCCTTGTACATAATATGTGGAGTAGAGCTGGATTAGAGCTCTTGCTCGGGGGAATTTCGACGGCGTCATTGGCTGGAAACAACGTAAAACCCATCCCCGTCAACTGAAATGCCTTTTTGCAGTCAGTCCAGGCTCCTTCTCCCCTCGCTCCACTGCCAGTCCGGCGCATTGAGAGGAACACGGACATTTTGTCGCTCTATCCAGCGATTCGTTTCAGAATTGTTTGTCTGCGAGGGGCACTCCGTCATTGCTCTGGTGGTTCGACCGCTGAAGTGTACATGAGAGTGCTCGCCACAGAGTGACCAGTCCGGGACACTATACGAGATAATGCCTTCGCGCACAAGTGATTGGGCTTGTGCCTCGACCAGTTTGACAGGAGAGACGCGCCCCAGAGTCGGAAGGGAAAAAACCATTAGTCAACTCGGCAAAAGCCCTCTCCCGTGAACCGCATACTGTACCACCTCCGGAGCAGAATGGTAGGTCTGGAACATTGCTTCGAAGCCACATGGGGAGGAACCAATGCGCCCTGCATGTTGGGGAGAGATTATCAAGCAGATGCACACGGGAGACGCACGCTACACGTGGCAACAAAGTCTGTCGTTGGACTAGGCGGCATGCACCTGCATGAGATGGGCATTCCACGCCATACGAGGTCTGATATCCAGATGCGTTGGAAGCAAGGCAGATCCATAACACCGAGGCGTAAAATCAACTCCCCAAGTACCTCGTACAGATTACAGAATTCATTCATACAGCACGATCTTATTCCAGATCCGGAGCAGCTAAGCACAAATCCTGGTAGTGACCCCCCCTTCTTTGTGAGATCGGCTAGGCAAAGATTGCCGAGAGCTAACTAACCAACTATTACTCCGTAAGAGATAATTACCGAGTACTAACAAGGTGCTCCATCTGGCATCCGGAGCCCCTGGGGCCTGGAGGGCCTCAAGGGCTGGTGGGCCTAGTGAGCCCCAATTCATGCCGCAGGCGCCACTTCAAGCCAAGTCATTTTAGCTTCAACAACAGGACATCGCTTGGACATGGCACCACAATACAAGGTACTTACTTGTGCCTAGGTCGGAGTGGTGACGCCCACCTTTTGCCTCACGGATCAATTCTACGCACTGGCAACCACAGGATCTGTCCGCTAGTTGTTGGTCGCCCTTGTTTTCAGGTGACAAAGAAGCAGAACATCCTGTTCACCCGCTGATGCAACATCCGCTCCTTTTCCCCTTCGCTTTGTCAAAAGGCCCTTGTGAGCACTCGCTCTGCCTAAACTCCCACTTGTTCCGGCTCAAGCCACCAGCCTCAGCTGCATGGTGGCAAATATCCCAAGGCCTGATACACCTGATATTCCAGTTCCAACGAAACTAAAAGTTCGGCAAACCTCGGTTTCTGCAGAAGTCTACCTCTTCTCATGCCGTATACCTCTCCGGCTTCCCTCACCCTGCATGCGCAGGCCTCACGTTGACAATGACCGACCACAACAAACACGACGGTGTGGACAAGGGTCTGCAGAATGCCTTGCCCCTTTCCACTCCGACACGGCCTCGGAGTACTGTCGAGCAAGAAACTAGCGGTAGCCCTCAACGTCCTTCCTATTCACCAGTCACCCCAACATTGTCCCATGCCAGCTTAGCCTCCCACGAAGGTACAGGAGTGGACCTCCCACCCACGCAATGGATAGATGAACCTCCGGAACCGCTTCCGGTCAGCCTGGATGACAATCCAGATGCAATGGCTTTGAGAGCAACCTTATCCATTTTACAAATTCAGCGTCAGCAGGCTCTGCGGGACATGCAAGAGTTGGATAAGATGAAAAGGGCCGCTTTGGAAGACCCCGAACAATTCGTCAAAGATCTTCAGACGGGAAAGCTCAGTCGTCCGCCGTCTGGCATAGAAGTTGATGAGCTGGAGCCTGTCCTGGCCGAGGACAAGGAAACAGATGTATCCAAGTTTGGACACTTCCCAAAGGCACAGAATGTCGTGCGTACCCCACCAGTAGAGTGGGCCAAATATCGTATCGCCGGCGAGCCCTTGGATCGAATTCACAAGATACAGCAAAAATATCCGGGAGCTACCGAGGAGTCGCTCGAGACTCTGGATCGCCCTCAGCCTCATACCATTGCGGCCCCATATCGTCCATTTGTGGACAGGCTAGATGAGATACGGCCTCCACCAAATCCTCGTACTTCGGAATCTTGATCATTTGTGAATCTCTGTTTGAGTCGTCAACCATGACATAACTGGATATTGTCATCACGATCATTATCGAAAGCCTGCAATCGGGGGAGGCCACTTGCCACCGAGCCCACTAAGCACGTCTCAATTTATCCTTGCAACTTGCAGGAGCCCTAAACCACCATCCCCTTCCACGCCATGTTGTTGAAGCTCTCCTCAAATAGTCCCTCGACATGGTATGGGTTTCCATGGCCACATCCCGATTCGTTGTTTCGACCCACCGCCTTCGAGAGTTATGTCTTCACACATCCCCCTTTGACGGTTCAATTCTTAAGAGAGCAGCTGTCTGCTAGGGCTAGGTACTTCTTGTACGTCTCCTTATGCTTGGCAGTCTCCAACTTCTCTGCAGCAATGCACAAAGGGCAGCGGGGCCCTTCCACCATAGCAGCTTTGTCCGCCTTGAGACCCTGTACTTTCATGGGATCTCCTCCCCACGTTCCCTTATTGTCCCGCTGGGCAGTGTCGATGAACTGGAGGCACGTGTAGCACAGGCGATAACTCGGGGGCATGGTGTCACGCAGGCGGACAAGCATCTGCAGACGATGGGTTCGGAGGGAACGCTTGGGGACAGGATGGTCATAATCCTTCTTGTTTTTCTCCTCCTTCAGTTGTTCGTAGGAGGCTGCCTGAGTCTTGCAGGTGAGAGCTAAAGAGGCGCGATCTGCATTCAGAGGCAGCGCTTTGAAGATCATGGCTCGAACCTCCTGGGGAAGCTTGGTGAGATTGTGCTCTTGATTCTTGATCGTTCCAGCTTTGTAGATCTAGAGAATCTTCAGTGAGTTTGCAGCGCTGACGTTGTTAGCTCGCCAGTGCTAACCTTTGTAGGGATGGTTGGGTCTTTGACACGCAGACGGAGTTTTTTGAGACGATTGGCGATCTTCTTTTGCCTCCTAGCAGTCTCCATTGCCTTCTTGAACTCTTTGTACTCTTTCTGAAGAGCTGTTTCCGCTTCCGCAATCCTGGCGAAAGTCAGTCGACGATGGTTTTCAAAGGACACTATTCTCCCTCACACTACAGGTGTCGGTGTGACAACCGGCATATCTCACGGAAGCCACAGGAGGTGAAGCCACTTTGAGAGAGTTCGAGTCGAGTATGCTCAATGTGTGGAGAGTAGTCCTGCGAAATATTGACGATGGTATATGTGACGTAGGGAGGAGGAGGAGCTGAGAAGGAGAAGAGGTGAGGGCAAGAGGTGATACTCACGGATACTACAGTATCAAGAACTCGACAGCGAGACAAGAGCACACCTATCACGGTCAGCTAGGACGATGACCAAGAATCTCAAGTCAAATAGACGGACTGTTGTGTCTTTATTGAAGAGGGACGACATCGGACTCAGAGGGTCAGCGATGCTAACAGGAGGCAAAGGGGCATTTGGATGCTCACTGCATGTGCCTCTAGCTGCTTGAATCAGGATTTCAACACATGTGAATAACACACAGCAGACACCCATATCCCAAAATCCTCACCCATATTTGGTTGAGTTCGAATGTTTATACCCTCACGGACTCGGACATGTACGACCGACTACCATTCTCTGCTTACAGCCTTCCTCACAGTTTTGCGCGGTCCTGCTCTCTATTACTAGAAGGTATACAGTCTCAGGAGGTCGCTAACAACTTGTTCTGAGGAGTTTGTTGAATCCTGCCATACTTACGGTGTACGTTACAGCATACCAGTTGCTTCCTTTCTCGACGAACACCTTCTTGGGATTATGAAGCATGGCATTTCGGTCAGTAAATTGACGGATGGATTCTTGAGAGCCAAACTTAGCTGGGACCATATGCATCTGTGGTAGCGCGGCTGTTTTGGGGCAACAGACAATTCCCTTCCGCCTGACCTCGTACAGCAGCCTTGCCAAGTTTTGGGATCAGGGCTGGTTGACGAGGCTAAGTCCAATGACGTCAATACTTCTCACGCTTTTGTCGATACTGGAATGACACAATCAGCCAGATCATAGAAAATTCACCTGTACCACCACCTGGCCACTGGTAAGATATCTTTTGCACCGTCCTTATCTATGTCACTCGAGCCAGATCTTGTAAGTTGTGCAATAAAAAAACGTCTACGTCCATACCGGTCCTGTCTCAATCGGTCTGGTGTTTCCCTCACCGTCCACATTTGATGCCCTCCCGCCACTTTACCTTTCCTAAACTCCTCTCCAAAAGCGAAGTTCGCTCCTCTACTCCAGCCCCCCAATCTACATATTCTCTGAGATCCTCAAAATATCACAATGTCCGGCCTCGACCCACATGCGTCCTCTCAGCCAAGTCAACAGACTGGCTTGAATCAAGGCCAAAACCCTGCTTCAAAGACTTCTCAGGAACAGTCCGCCGCACGAGACACTTCCTCCGCCCAATCCAAAGTCATTGATCACCGCTCTGCCCATGATGTTCCTTCTGAACACGGCCAAGCCGCACAACCAAGCTCCCTAGCGGCTGGCGAGCGTGGTGCCCTCACAGAGAAACAGATTCCTGAGTCCGACGCACAGAACTATTCCAAGGGTGAAAGCAATTTAGAGGGTGAGAAGATGCGGATGCCAGGCGAAGGCGAGGTCGCGAGGGCGGTACGAACGGGCGGTGGTGGCGGTTTTGGCGAGGAACAGAGCCTGACACTAAATATGGAGAAGAAAGCGGCAGATCATGACCGGGAATTGCACAGACGGAGAGAGCGCACCGAGAAAGAGATCGAGGAAGAAGAACAGGAGGATTGGACTGGGAAGAAAGCAGACATTGCGAGTGCGTTAGGTGACGGAAGAGAGGGCCGTGACGAGGCCAGTCGGCCAGCGGTGGTCCTGGCTGCAGAGGAGTAAATGAAGAGAAACGCATATTATGGTATGGGACCATCCATGGGGAATGTGGTTAATTAGCAGCAGCAACTATTGAGGCGCCACAGGACGAAAGCCATGTAGGACGGCCCGAGACCCGCCGATTCTCGAACATGGAATTTCCTCCTTGGCCTCCCTCCATTCCTCCTTTCTCGCCTCCTGTTGTGGATGTCTTCCCTCGTCTCCTATTAAAAGAGTTCTCGGTGGATGACTGTCTCTCCGATTTGCCTTCAATTTCAAGATACATCCGTGAATGACCCCAGAGTTACGCTCAAGGCATTGGCGAAGGCCACAAGGGTGGAACAGCAAATTACGACGATACACTATAGTACCGACAAAGAAAACCTCACTCTATGGTTGATACCCAACACTTGCGGCATTGTGTTCTGCGGTCGACTCCTTTGTTAGCCGAATGTGGATAGTCCGGGTGAGAGCAGCCACAATATGCTTTCGGCCACAATGCCACAGCATTCGAGATCAGGAACAAAGACAAGATTTCTCTATAACACTTTGAAATGCCGCAAGTCATGCGAGAGGAAAAGCTATCAATTCATTCTTGTTCCCCCTTGGGAATGCATCCTGTTTGCACGCCGTGATGTCGGCGTCGTTTGGCCCAAATTCTGATGCTTCGTTTATTGCAGGACTCATCTGAGCACAGGCACCGGAACAAAAGTATTCGATTCGAAGCATCTGCGACTTGGTCCGAAGGAAAAGATTATGTGTTACTACACCGCCTACATCTTCTTGACTTGTGGGCATGTCGCCTTATCCAACAGCTCTATTCTGAACTCCAAATGTCCACACCAAATATCAAAAATTACACTCCCATCCATGGAAAGAAGACAAGTCGAGAAACACCAACCCACGCGCAGAACCCAGTTTGATGCAGAGCCTACCTCATCAGCCGATCTCACAGACCCGCCTTCATCCATACGCTGCCCTAGCAAGCTGACGCATCCACTACGCACTTTCAGTATTGACGCGCTTTGTCTTCCATGCCAAGATGAGCGAGATGCTCGAAAGAATGCTTTTGAGACATACATGCGCGAAGATGTTGAAAGGCGGATCCTCACCCGATCCGAACGCAACGGGCGGGGGTCAGAGCTGGGAAGAAGAAGGCTATTCCGAGCTTCGACAACCTTTGCGATGATGATGATGGAAAGCCCCACTCGGGCAGAAATGAGATTTTAGGTGAAAGAAGCGGACGGTGCTGCTCAACCGATAAATCTGAGGCCGCCGACAGAAAAAGCAGAGCATATTATGAACCGCTTCTTTGGGGCAGGAGACGTTGAGCGGCAATGAGGCCAGATTGTCATTTGCTGCGTTGGCTGGTATGCCTCATATAGTTGGCTTTGAACAGGCTCAGTTTAGGAGCTCGAGGGGAGAGAGGGTTCGATTCCAGCCGCTCTCCGGTAGAGGCATGGACGATGATTTTGGGTTCTCCGTTCGCGAGTGAAAGCCAAACCGTCTCGAAAGAGATCGACGTGGAGGCTTCAACGACCGTGGTACCTGGGGTTAACGCTCGCGACCAACACCCAATAGGTGCCTTGCACTATCGCTGATGTCAATGGTGATCTGCGTACCGCATCCAGCCGCTGCGGGATTTGTAAAGGTATCTAGGTCGTACGTACATCCAAACAAATAGATGCGCTGTGCTTTGTCTCGGCTCTCTCATAAGCGACTCCAGACCCATAAGGCGGCGTCAGATAACCACATGGCGCAGCCAATTAACCGTCGGGGCGATCTTGGCCGCTTTTGAGCTGCTGAGCTTGGCATTGGCTGAAGCTCTGACTGACCTCAGGTGGGTGTCCTTACCCAATCTACACAATACATACAAGCTAAGCAGAAACTCACCGGATCATTGTTATTTCCCGATCCAAAGGCTCCAGGTGGTTCTCTCTCTCAATTTCTGTCCGTAAACAACCGGAAGAGCCACTGTGCAACAGGAACAGGGCGCATCTTCCTCTATATGCTCCTTCGGCTCATCCACTCGAACAATCCTACCCCATCTTGAAACTCTCGAGTAGCCTCGATATAACGCCCGCTATGCCTACACCCGAATCGGAGTCGTTTCTGCGCCAGAAACCCAAAGTGCCGCCAACATTCCAGGGCGTGGATTTCCAAGACAATGAAGCGGTCGCCGATGCAAGAGATGCCATTGTTCGAGAACAGTGGGTTCAGAGAATGATGAGGAGGTTGGTGGGAGAGGAAATGGGTATGTTATTGACCCCAGTACTCCATACTGTCGCTTGGAGGAGCTCGCATAGAGAGGTGGGCACGGATTGTACCTGTCCGATGCCTGATGGTGTCGTGGAAACTCCTCGAACGAGAGATATGAACATGCGGGAAATACTCCACTGCTCAGCATGCTCTTGGTAACCTCTTCTAATACCATACCTTCAACAGGCAAGTGCTACGCGCGCGAGGGAGTCAACCATCTTGAGAAATGTGGAAAATACAGAGGTAAAAGCCATGCCCTACCCCAGCTGCTGCTAGTTAGATTCCTCCCTGATACCTCGACGGTTATTACCTCGCATCTAACTGTCCCCGAACTTCAAATTCAAAGACCGCTATCTCCAGCTCCTCAAATCTACTCGCGAAGCCGGTTTCCGTGGGCAGCAACAGAATTATATCCCCGGTGTAGACGGCCCCGCAGGCGGACCAGAGATTCATACAAACTACCCGAGTGCGCAAGAGGCGAAGGGGTCCAGAGGATCAGATCTCAGACCGGGCAACACAACAGGAAAGGGTGGCAATACACTGTACTAGAGTGAAACGAAGAGTGAATACGTGTCGGAGGAGAAAAGACAGCTGTAGAGCATCTCGCAAACAACTTCTAGCCATGGGAGGAAATATGTACATACAACATGGCGTGATCTGTTGGAGGCCGACAAATCCTCTCGATAATAAGAGGATTGAGATATCATTCCTGTGCTGCTCTCGACGGCGGCACATGGGTGGCTGAAGAACCCATTGAGCCCCAAACCCTCCTGCTGCAGTGCAAATGTAAAGGGTGGTACAAATATCAAGGGCATTTGAGCATTCATCGCCTTCCTATTGTGATTTGTTGAAGGCGTAACTCCCTGGTTTCAACCGAACACAGCATCGTCGATGGGGATAGTTACTGTCCAGATAATGGGTCAGGACCTACTACTTCTTGATGTGGATCGCCCGAAACAATTTGCCGTATAGAAGGCGAGTTGGAAGAGGTCAGCTGTTACATTATTTCAGACGGCTCTTAAGATTGTCACTAAACGGTGCCCTCCTCGTTTAGAACAGAAAGCCAGGATTCATTGGACCATTTGCCTTCTTCAGTCAGACCAGATCTCCCTGCCTTCACAGGACTTGGTTGCTTTCATAGCTTGCTCCTCTTACCCGCCTTTTCTGCCGCAAAAGTTGCCAACGCGTCCATCAACGGTGGACTCAACACATCATATGGCTCCAATCCGAGCTCGCGCAATCGCTTCCGCACCTCATCCATCTTCTCCGGCGGATAGCCCTGCTCAATTAAGCTCGACACAAACGCCGCAAACTGTGGCTCCTGCCAGCCCTTCTCATCGCTCAAATCGACGTGGACGAAACTCAATCCTTTGAACGCATGGTCTTTTTCGACCGGCCCGAACATATGAACACCACAATCGCGGCAAGCCGTGCGCAAAATTGTCGCGTCCTTGTCCAGCACGGCGAGTTTGTGTCCGTTCTTGGTGACACGGACATTCTCCTTTGGGATGACTGCCACGACGGAGAAGAGTGCGCCCTCAGGCTTCCAGCACTGGGAACAGCCGCAGACGTGATTGTGTAGGACGTTACCCTTCAGCTCGACCTCAACGGGATCGGAACGGCAGTGGCAGCGCAGAGTGCCGCCGGGGAACTTGTCTTTGCCCTTAACGAGGCCGTTGTCGATGAGGGGATGTAGGGATGGTGCCATGGTGCTCATATCCATCTCAATTCTGGTGGGATAAGATGCAGCTGGTGACAGGAGGCAATATGTAGCTGGGGAGAACACGACTGCAGCAAGATCCCACCGGGTTCTCGAGCAGCTTTAAATCATCAGCAAAGCATCGGGAAGACGCTGCGCACACTCCCACAAACAAGCCCCAGACCCTTGCTTCACGAAACCCGGTGGTGCCGTCTTATGCTGGCATCATATGAGGGGTAAATGAATGAATGCATGTAGCTCCTTCAGGCACCTCGCTCATCTAAGCCGTTTTGAGGAAAACGACGCCCCTCAACTTCCATATCCTGAAATCCGCATGTCCGATGCAAGGTAGGAATACCCTAGAGACTCTACGGTCCTTGAAACGTAACCTCAGAAGCTGAAGCACGCTCGCACACTCGGTCGGCAGTTGCGGGGGATACACCGAAATAGCATTCACATTCGGGAGATATCGCGTCAGACTCTACAAGCGAGGTGGAGAGGAGGTGAGTGAAGGAGTCCTGTTTCTGTGTCGACAGGCCTGCATTTGATCGTTTCCTGTCAAGAAAAGGATCTGCTCGCTGGCAAACAAGGCCGGGAAACTTCCGGCCATCGTTCCCAGAGACAGAAGAGGGGCAGAGAAGAGAGAGGCAGAGCAAGATATGGAATTGCACTGTGACAGCCATTGATTCTCGGTAGAAGAGAGTCCGGCGAAGTGCAAGACTACATCTGGGTTGATCTGGGCAGGATCTGGGCATATCTGGGCATCTGGGCAGCCACCTCACCACTCGCCAGGCCTCCACGTACCAAGGCTTGCCAACAAAACTCGTGGGGCCAACACCATACCACGAATGCCCTCTTGATTAACAGTTACGAATCTACACAGCCTTGCTGGCACTGGCTCAACCCCAAAAACCAAGTGATATGATTACTCTGTAGCCGAAAGGGAAGTTGACAAATATGCCTTTTCCTTTTGTGCTTTCCACAACCTCCCTCGTCTCCTTTCAAGCCAGCCTTATCTCTTCCACCCACCCATCCCTTCCATCTGCGGCCACATCTCAACGCGCCGTGCTCCGGGCGGCATTGAAGGTTCACAAGAGGCTGTCGCCAGCAGACCAGGCCACCAATCTATTGTCTCTGGCTTCCACGGCCCAAAGCTATCTACGCTACCTCGTCACGCTGGACGTGGCACTGTCTGGCAAACCTGTGGCTGGCGAGGATGTTGACATTGCACTTGCGAAGGAGCCTGAGTTCGAATGGCGGCCAACCCTAGGCTCCACCGCCATCCCAGGTCGGGAGAACGAGCGCGTCAAGGGCAAGGGGCTTGACTACGAGCTCTTCTTTGTGCATCATACGCTAGCGCTCATTCATAATCTTCTAGCCAGACAATCTCTCCTTGGGCTATACGCTTCAGTCAACCCAACACCAGACCAACGACTAGCACTGATTCAAAATGCCTCGAAGTGCCTTACCACGGCACATGCGATTCATTCCTACCTTCTGCTGAGGGCAAACTCTTCCAGTGACGGACCTCCCACCTTCCCACCCGCAGCGATTGATGTGTCGACGAGTGTACAGTCGGCTTTGCAGCACTTGAACCATGCAGAATACAATTTGCTCTGTGTACTGAAGGAAGACCCGTATCCTGCAATGCTCGTTCAGTCACGGAATAAGGACGACAAAGAGTGGATGATCAGAGCTCCTCGGATCGAGAAGGTTCGGGGCCAAGTCCTGACTAGACTCTGCATCGGGGCAGCGCAGCATGCTTCTGCTGCTACTGTGGCACTGCAGCTCGAGACCACAAAGGCGTCGAAAGAGCTGCTGGAGTACTGTGATGGCATCCAAAGAGCGTCACGAGCAAAAGCTTGCAGATTCCAGGCCCTAGAGGAGGACACCCATGCAGGCCAAATAGGAAAAGCAATCGCGTGGCTGAGGGCAGCCATGAATGAGCTAGGGTTTGAAGTAGGGAAAGATGGCTCAAAATCTTCCGGTTTCGGCAAGCTAAAGGCGTCTTGGATTGAACGTAGAGAAGATAAACGGATCGAAAAGGGTAGCCCAACGTGGGGATTGGACGGGGGCAAGCTCGAGGAAGGCCGGATCGTTGAATATCTGGATCAAAAGTTCAACAAACAGAACGACACCATCAACGTTCAGCTGATACCAGAGTGGAGGCCGCTGCTGGCAATGTTGCCTAGTGGGATGAACATGGGAATGGGCGAAAAATGGAAGCCAGAAGCATTGGAGGAGGATGAATTGGCAGCAATGAGAGCTCCGCCTGAAGTCGACGAACTGGCCGCCGCAAACAGCTCGGATGAGGGCGAGGAGAGCATGGCGGTGCCTGCAGGAGCTTTCCCTAGTACGCAGCGAGATTATGGCAGTAGGACGACTTATTATTGAAGACCCGAGGGGCCGTTGAGACAGGAAGCTGGATGGGTCAGAGCCGAAGCATCAACGTGGTAAATCCAATCCCTGTACTGTTTCGGAATACTGTAATCATGTTACCTTCAATCTTGGGTGTTTACAAGACTAGCGCAGTTGTGGGATGACGTCTAGGCATTATCGACATACGAGTACCCAGTACGCCGTGTGTGGTCAGCATGGTCAGGCTGACTGGTTGGTTGGGCGAGTTGGGCTCAGCCTTGCCCCTGAGCGATAGATATTCTCCCCGCAACCCCTTTCGTGTTTCAACATTGTTTCAACCTTTTTCCTCACCGCCAATCATCCACTCAGACAAGTGGTTCACAGCAACCCTCCCACTTCCCACCAGAGCTTGTGTGGTCAAGGAGAATTATTATTCCTTGGTGGCCTACTCAACGGCCACTCGAACGGGCTGAGCCCATAACAATCCCGGCACCGCGAGCGACCACCTTGCACAGGACCTCGCGTGTATCGGAGGTTCTGGTTGGATATGAGCGCTCCGGTGGAAGGCTCGCTGGTTGCGCCTGCACAATGGTTCAGAAGATGGCGTGATGAGGTCGTGACCACTGGTTCTCATCTCTACGCGCTGTTCGATGTGGTGCTGACGATGCAGATGGCTTCGTCTGTGACTGGCTGTCGTGGGGTGACTGTTTCCCTTTTTCTCTAGTTGAAGAGCTCAGCGAGATGCAAGATCGGGAGATGCATCCCTTTCTTCTTGCAGTCGCATATATCAAAGGGCCGCCAGTGCGTTCTAGGAACTCCTTGACGGCTTTGGCTCTCGAGGCACATTCCTCTTTGATCTGTGCTGGATTCCGTGAAAGAAGAACAATGATGACACCGCTTTCTCTCTTCGGCATCATGACCACGACGCTCCTTCATGTAAAATCAACCTTGGCGTTGCCGATGCCAGAGCCGATGCTGCCAAAAATCACTATCCGGCATGACTCGCCATCACAATCACCAACTGAGACTGGCGTGGCGGTCGGGGAATATTCCATGCCAAGCCTAGGAACGCATGGCAAACGACAGCAATATTCGCTATCAGAATCCATCAAGATAGCCCCAACCCCAGGACCCACGATACGAGTGCCAGATCGATACACACAACTCCTGCATCCCCACGAAAGGGAAAAAGAGCGCCCTCTCAGAGCGAGATTTTACCCTTTCGATGCGGGCAATAGCACGAGCGCCAGCAAGCTCCCAATAACACCAATCCCGCTTGCATCTGTTGCGTTATCGAGTTCGACCGACGGCCTCAGTATCAGTTCTCCAAGCTCACAGATGTTGTTCACCAATCCTTCGAACAGCGTGCAGCCTTTCACAATCACCGGGTCTGCCACCGCGCTGGGGCTGTCAAGCGCAACATCCGCCCCAGACATTGTCACAGACACATCACCGCCTTTGCTACCAATGGACTTGACCCTACCAGCTGCGTGGATACGAACTCTTCCTCCCACAACGGCACTATCCACACCAGTTCCCCTTGTTCCTGAGCCTCAGCCGAATCTGGCAACACAGTCGTGGGTTTCCGGGACAGCAGCACCAACACCTACGACGAGTCAGAATGCAGGAGTTTCAGTCCTGAGCGAAGGGGCAAACACAGATTGCCCGTCCCAATCCGGCGTATCAACGAGCCCAGATGCAGAAACGACGCCCGATGCGACCTTCCCAGTCATCGTGACTGTTTTGCCTATCTCGTCGAGTTTCTCTGCTGGGTCGTGAAAGAGTCGGCCGTAGTGTCGATATCTTGTACCGTGTTTTATGAAGTCAGCGAAATCAACGGCGGCATCTGAATAACAATGCACTGGGATGTGGGCAGCGTTCATGTAGCTTCCTCGCGTGGAGTGTTATACCAAGCAGGCCTCCTATCTTTGGTTGGTATGTTGGGTTTGAAGGGGGGTTAGCTAGGGGTCGATTGTTGCCGGCCTCCAGGATTTCAGCATCATCACGCCAGAGCTTGATGTGGCTCGGTGTCTCAGCGAGCTCCAATGAACGAAATCTGCACTTAGGGTAGAACCGCTGCGAAGGAGCAGACATTCCTGCAAGACAAGAGCCGAGGGCATTGCGCCGCGATGCCCAGAGTTGAGAAAAACTCTTAGAATAGCTTATAGGTCGGGGATTGCTGGACGCAGTCACCACGACCGGGTACTTTAGAATAATCACTGCATACAGAAAATGCATCCAGCCTAACTCACTCTTTCCACGTAAAGGCACTGCTACCCTCCCACTGGACCTTCTTCTACAGTTTTTACTTTTGATGATGTGTTCATGACAGTGATGGTATGATCAATTTACAGGCCAGTCTCTTTAGAGCAATGGAGGCGCCCAAAGTCCGAGCTGGGTACATAGATACATAAACACGTAAGCGTCTATGATAGTCGCATCGAGGAGAGACTCTTCTTTGTGCATAGAGGAAGAGAAGAGGACCTGTCAACAAAATTGCGCCGCATCGAACAATCGGCAGTGTCCACAGGATTTGTTGCATCGCCGTCCTTCCTTCCTATACTTCGACCCTACAAAACCTCTCCCACGATCTTCGCGGCCTCCTTATACGTTGCCAACAACTTTTCACACTTCTCCCTCTCCTTCTTGATCCCGTCGTCCTCGTACAACAACTCACCAAATAGCTCCTCCTTGTATAGCTCGCTGACGAGACGATTCTGCACTTCATCCCTCGAATGGTTCACAAGTAAGTGCATGATGGCTTTCGGCACTTGATCGGCGATGGTCTCGCGTACGATGTTGAAATAGCTGGAGATTAGACGGCGGATCAGCTCGGTTTCCATAGCTTCGCGCTCAGTCAGAACAGGCTCTGCATTTTGCTCGGGCTGGAAAATGTGCATGTTAGCAAATGATACAAGAAGCTGGGGGCATAATTCACGTACGAATAACAAGCTCGAATCGCCATACTCCGACCCCGGCGCATAATCGTCATGCAGCGTCGGTGGATACACAGGCGATCGATCCGTGAAGCTTCCACGATCCATCCGCCGCATACTCTGCGAGAAGCTCGGTTCGACATTGTGACTGACATGTCTTTGAGCCACCGAGGCCGAGGACGGAACAACGGCTGGGCTGCCTTGTAGTGCCGCCCCTGGTAACCCGCCTTCCTTTCCAAAGAAGTAATTCAGGAACGAATCTCTCGCTGCACCTGCTGAACCCGCAGCAGCCGAAATGCTGCCGAGGCCATTTTCACGCTCACGAGCCACAGTCGGTGACATGCTGCGGCTCAGCGTCGGGTGTTTCCTGTTTGGTAACGAAGTAGGCTTGTCTTCCTGTTCGGCATCTTCTTCATCTGGGGTGGCGGCGCCGTTAACTCCTAATTGCTTCATGCGCTGCTTCTCTCGTTTTCGTCTCTCCTCGGCTTGCGCGGCTTTCTTGTCTTTTTCGTTCTTGTTTGCAATGACAGAAGACATTGCTGCGGCCGCTCCAAGAAAGTTCGGATGGTTCGTGTTGATGTATGCGCGTTGAATCGCAATAAGTGATTCGACATAATTTGAACAAGGACCAAGCCGCTCTCGCAGCAGATCCGAAACCACCTCGATGAGCTTGGCTTGTAACCTGGGAAATCTGGACAGCTCCGTAGATCCGCATGTATGGCATATCTTGATCAGCTCTTCATAGACCAATTCTACGCACCGCTGACTGGGGATCTCCAGCAACTTAATTTGTGGTTTCACCAGGAGATCAAAAGCGAGTTCAGGAACGAAAAGACTCGGTCGCGGCCCGGTGGAGTTGCGGATAGCGGTTCGGATGTCGAGAACAGATAGGTTGTGTGTAGGATCAATGGTTTCTAGAGAGTTGCCGAACACAGAATTGAAGATATAGTATATCCTGGCACCACCACAGAGCTCTTTTGTTGATATTTCTGAAGACGTGCCATCAATGGAGGAGATGAATGATGTCGCGAAGCGGGTCATGAGTTGAAGGATCAGCGATCCGCGGTGTTCCTTGCCGCTGAACTGCTTGCTTCCATAAGAAGCCAGCTCTTGCTGTGTCTGGCCCATCAAAGTGTTCAACCGCGCCTTGATGTCGGGCAACCGATCGCGGATGTGGCCCATCAGAGTTGTGTTCAGAGTTTTGGCAAGGTATTGCGTTCCGCATCTTGTTGCCATATTCCGATAGGCGGGATGATGCCTGAAAAATTCCGCCTCCGATCTGAGAGCGTCGGACATGGGTTTATTAGTCTGGATGTCTTGCTGGGATCGGTTAACCACGCCTATGAATCCAAGCTTCAGCGGGTACACGCGACCCGACAGGATATCCAACGCGTTTGTACCATGATCCATCAAATCCAATTTTGTCAGGACACCAATGGTCCTTCTTCCCATGGGGTCAACATGCCGAGCGAGCTTTAGGGCCTCTGAGTTGACGATGTCAACGTTTGCAGGAGAGACGGCGAGGATGATGCTGTTTGGTTTGGCAATGTATTCAGAGATGAGGGTTCTCGTTTGTTTCTCAATGTCTGACGGTTGATCGCCTATGGGGACCTTGGTCAAGCCGGGCAGATCGACTAAGGTGAGGTTGAGAACGTGCGGAGAAAAGATCTTGAGGTTAATGGGCTGCCTGTTGATGCCCTTGTTGTTCCCTGCTATTCTCGCCGTTTCATTTTCGATCTCAGCTCGAACTTGGTTGAAATCCACGAACTTGCGACCTGGGATATGGTGAAACTCTGCCCACTCTCCGTGTTCTGCCACGCTGGCCGCCGTATGGGGGATGTGCACATCGCCATTGCCATTGGTATCTGAGTCATCATCATCGGGAGGGATGTTGATCAGTTGCAATATCAGGGGTCGACGAGTAACAATGCCACTTCCACGGGGAAGAAAGTCCCGGCCAACAATGTTTTCAAGCACGGAGGATTTCCCCGACGACTGGGAGCCGACAACGACTATCTGGGGGAGATCGAGGGAGTCATTGCCTATAGTGTTGAAGACAAGGTCTTGGAGTTTGTTGACAGTGCGCAGGAGGTCATCACCAAGGGTGGTCATTGTTGATGAACGTGGTCGCAACCAGCTAGGAGAAGTGTTTCAAAGGCGAAAAGCTGGCCGCACAGAAAATAGATGGTTGACCTGGTAGATGGCCACACGACAACAGGCTTTTAAAGAGAAGGCTGCGAGGTAGAGGAAGTAGAGAACGCCCAACACGACAAGATTGCGGCGACGCTGCTGGTCAGATGGCCACCCGCAGGCACATGTTTACTGCAGCGTATCGTATCTTGGAGAGGATGCAAGTTTGCAGATGCAGATGCTGCGAGGAACGCGGCGAGGCGAGGCGATGCGGGTAGCAGGCCGCAGGCGCAGGCAGGTTTCGCGGAGTGTAAGAAAAATACATGCAATGACGAACACAGACGCAGAGGATGTCACCAAGGCGGCCCTTAGCTGGTGCAATGGGTGATTTAATTCCCGTGTCAGACATAGGGATTAAATCATTGGTGCTGCGGCGCCTCTCCTCTGACGTCGTCCCCTCCTTAGTCCCTGTCCATACAAGCTACTCACTGGCTACACACCTGCACGGTACAAGGTATGAACCAAGTCACAGCAACACAGCAGGCACCGAAGGCGGGGTCAATATTACGACATGCACAACGAGAACATGATCATTTTCCATGGGTGAGCGTGGCAGGCGTCGAAACTCACTCCCATATCTTCGAGTTCCTAATATCCAAAGAACTTGAACCCCATCGCCATCACTACAGCCATGTGTCTCGCACCTAGCTTTGTCATTGCCATCACTGGCCTGCTGTTGGCAATCCAGGGATCAAGTCACCCGGTCGGCAACGACATCCGAACTTCCTTCACCAATGGGCAGCTTCAGAAGCCTTTCTCCGATGCCCCTTATGCCGTCTTTTCGACCATCAGAGATGTCCTACTAGAGCATAGCATCATCGGCGACGTCCTTGACGACTTTGAACCGTCTTACTACCTCGACATCAGCTACCCAAAATCCCACGAGACGGTCCTCCTGGGCAATGACATCCCTGTTGAATCCGTGTCGAAACGACCCATCTTCACTTTTCACTCGATAGCTTCTCTGCTCGGTACGGAAGCTGCGAAGAAGTCTACCTTCACCCTAGTCTTGACCGACCCTGATGCGAAATCTCGAGACAACCCAAAGTGGTCGGAAATGTGTCACTGGATCCTCACCAATCTGACCACGCCCATCCCGGAGCCTCCATCAATGCTGCACCTTGAGAAAGCCAAACCTGGAGAGCTCAAGGAGTATCTTCCACCAGGTCCACCCCCGAAAACGGGTGCTCATCGATATGTTTTCGTCTTGTTAGAAGGCACCACTTCAAACCTGGAACCGCCAGCCGATAGGAAGCACTGGGGTTATGGCAAGCCCAGACATGGTGTGCGGGACTGGGCGCAGGACAATGATTTGACTGTTGTGGGTGCGAACTTCTTCTATGCTCAAAATGAGAAGCAATAGGCCGAGATAATCAATGAGGTAATTCCCTTTTCCCCGTCCAAAACAACCTCTTTCATGTCCGACCTTCCTTAAGAAGCCGTATCTCTGCTAACCCTCTCCGCACCTCATCCACCGCTTCTGTTCCCTGCTTCAAATGCTTTTCAATTGCCCCCGAGGAAGCCACATCGGCTGCCTCGGCTGCAAATATCCACGAATCAAGGCGTTTTGATACCTCATCCTTCATCCCCGTTGTCGCTTCCTGTTGTTGCTTATTACCGAAAGTAGATGCGGCGTGCATAAAGCGTCCGGACCCAGCCAGGATTGGAAAAGCTTGGAGGAGCTGGCTCTCATCGCTGAGCCGCTCAAGCATGTTGATTGTAGTGGTAGATTCTTTCTGCAGCTGGTTGTCCACAAACATGAGGTAGAAGGACGAAATTCTTTGTTGCTGCATGGATGGGAGCAAACATTTTTCAATCGCACTTATGAGATTGGTTCCTTGGGTGGTCAGCAGTAGCTCCATTGTCTCGTTGCATCCTTTGATATCTCTTGACTCTTTCTCGGGCAAAGGAGCTCTCAAGTTCGCGACAGCAGAGAGTAGCTGTCTCCGTGCGTCGATATACTGCTCATATTGAGTGCTAACCCGCTTGTCCAAGTCCTCTTCGGTTTCTGGCGAGTCATCCACACCCTCATCGTTCAGCACATCAGTACCGTCTTGACACCTGTCCAGGACCTCCTGTAGCCATGTAGTCAATTTCTTTCTCGCCGCTGACATGGCGATAAGATATCGCTCTGCTGTAATGTTTCCAGACTCTTGAATGCCCGATTTGGCGCGATCTAACAGCGTCTCCAGCTGCATCGCCTCATGTTTAGCATGCACCACAGCCATTTCGAGAGCTTGGATGAATTGAATGATCGACTTCGCGAGGGCTCCTTGCCCATTCGTGGAGGACAAAGTTGCAGCCTCTGATTCAATAGGGTTGGAACCCAACTGGACCGAAGCCGGACCAGAGGAAATTTTGATAGCGTTCACTTCATCATTCAGGGCCATCAATTGCGCGTTTCGCTTCTTCAAACGCAAGAATTCAAGGTGAATATCGAGCAAAGCCGCCATATCCGATGCTGGCCGCGCCGACTGATTCGTGCTACGGGCCTGCGAAGCAGAACTTGCAGCCTCTTCGTATCTGCGCTTTGCTGCGACATTTGCCCGAACGGCCTGGAGATATTCGGCTCTCAAATCATTACTCAGTTGCGGGAGTTTCTGCACGCCTCTTGCGGCATCGCCATGGAATGTGTGTTTGCGAGTCTCTTCTATCTCATACGCAGGGTAAATATAGGGGTCGCACGTCGTCGAGAGTTTCTGGAGAAGCGTGGCAGGGTCCAAATCTCTTTCCGGCATGATCAAGCAATAACTTAGATTGTGTTGAATTTGACTGCTGAGGGTCTTTGTCATCTGTCCGGGACCACTTTGCTCTCTCTAGCAGGCTGGACAAATCATTGGGGACCGTGGATGGACTTCTCAGGAGTTCAAGATCGAAATTGAACTGCAGCTGCCAGCTTCACCGCTTAGCCATCGATGAGCACTTATTTCGACCTAAAGCTGAGATTTCCAGAGCTAGTATCATGCCGACAACTACTGATGATATGACCTTTGCAAGGGGGAAAATATCCAAAAGAAATGAGTTCAGATCTACTTATAGAAAGTTGTGTGGACACATGGTCTGAATAACATATACACCTGGCCAATCAAGGCACAAACTTGTCCTACTAAAAGGCGTACGTACGTAGTCAGATTTCCGAGACTTACCTCAAGGGAGACTATATATATATAGGCCTGAGGATGTCCACATTGAGAGAGCCTATTGTGAGCTATGAAAAGTAACAATCATGGCTAGATCTCGGAGCATGCGGAGTTCGAGCTGAATATCTCTCTCTCCCTTTACAGATGGTGAGGATCAGACAGATATCTTTTTTCCCTCAATGCTTGCTCCTACAGCTCCCAGCATGAGACTGAACATCACAGATTCTTTCACACTGATTTTGTCGGGCATCATTACCTCTCTATGCCTCTTTTGCTGGGGTTGACCCGCTATGTTTAGGTTCTAAGATCGTAGCCCCCTGGATATGTTGTATTCCGTGGCTACTCTGCATCTGTCATCTTGCAACTGAGAGATGTAGCAACTGATCATCACTCGAGACGTTCTCCGTGAGCACACTGCTGGCTTAATCGAGCAGCATTTATCTTGACGAGTGGTTCCCAACGAGCAAGCGATTCGCTTTGCGATCATTCTGTCTATGAAGTCGGCTGTTGGTGCTGGGATGCCTTCCTCCTTCAATTGCCGACTTTTCACAATCGATTTTCCGGGAATATTGAGAACCCGGGCGGCGATCGCGCGAGCTACCACCACACCGGCGTCTTTTCTGCTCCGGCAACACAGATTCGAGTGGGGATGCAAGAAAGACGAGGCGCTGTCAACGGGCTCCCTCTCTCACCACGTTCTACTCTTCCGAGTGGGAAGATGCCATTTTCAGCGCCCATTATGGTTTGCCACAGACATACTTATGGTCCTTTGTGGCGAGCATCTTCCGCCTTCCCAAGTCCAAGATCGGTTTGTTAATGGCAGCAATGAATATTCGCAGTAGGGCTCCTGGTTCGGACTAATGAGTGATGGAAATTTCTTTAGAATAGATGTTGATGACCAATACTAACTGTCTCCCTGCTGTCTGCGATTGGATCCTACGACCCCAATTCGTTGTTCTGGGGTAGGTATCCCCATAATCCGGAGCAGTCATTGATCCTTGGCGGGTAGGTTTCCCGCAGTCTGGGGCGGAGTCGTGAGGTCGGTCGGGAGAGGGCAGGAATCTCATAGCGAGACTGTCCACACCGCTTTAATCTTTGGTCTTTTGAGCTCAGGAAGAGGACTTGGATATGGCTGGGGAGGGTTCATTGAAGTCCACCAAATCAAGCACGGCCCCCCTGGTTCCGGTGAACGGGCGTATGGCACAAAATGTGGCCGTGTTATCCTTGCCAACGGGGCTGCGGCCGCATTCGGGTGATGGAGGATCCATTTGATGGCGGGACGGATGCTATGATATATGGTAGCTTGGGGCTAGCCGATTGAAGGCGATGGAAACCCTCATCAGGTTGAGATGTTAACCTTTTGCAGAGTTGTCAACCCAAAACCAGTCCTCGCGCGTCTTTGGCTGTGCTATGCAGATCCAGACATTCGTTCAGCCGCGGTGATCGCTCAATCCTTGTTTCCTGTGTGCTTCTTTGCTTCCGTCAGCCGTCGCATGAGTTCACGACAATCTTCGCCTTCTTTCCCCTCGATTTCGATCGCCCTCTCAAGCCATTCAACGGCATCCTGCCAACGTCCCATCTCCATCAGACATCTTCCTCCAACAATGTATGATTTCGCGTTACCGGCGACCTTTTCTCCATTGGGACCGGTGCCAGGGCCTCGTTTGCACTCAATGCTGCACTCGGCATCTTTCAGACCTTCGACCCAGTTCTGGAGGTCGGCATTAGCAGCAGCTCGAGAGAGATACATCAAAGCAAGCTCTTCTCTAGCCAGTCCCATGGGCTCCCAGCCTGGTCGCGCCGCGGCCATATCTATCCCAACTCCGAGGAGGCGGATCGCATCTGCATGTTGACCTTTCCGTGAGGATGCCACAGCCGACTCTCGCAGTTTGTGGACCTGACCTGACCGTTTGGGATTCACCGGGAGAGGAGGGGGTGGGATATTGTTCGGGGTCTCGAGCGACTTAAAAGACGTGTGTAACTTATTGATATTGGAGATGGCGTCTTGCAACGCCCTGTCTGAGGAGAGGATGGAGATCTGTTTCGTCTGGGGGTCGATGTGGAGTGGAAGGTGCGTATATGTCTCTAGAGCGTCGTCGGTCGAAGCCATGGTTGTTCTTCAGCGGTGAGAAACACGAACAAGCGTTTGAAGTGGAACGTCTACGATCCAGGGATGAGTAAAACAAGGAGCGACAGTATTAAAGTCAAGGATAGCGGGAGACGCGACAAGTCAAAGTGGCCTTCTTGCGGAGAGTCTTGGCAAGGAAAGCTGAGAAAATGTGGACTGGGTACTGGTTCCCGAGTAAAGGCAGGAGTCCTACTCAGGCTGCTCCAAGTTCATGTGCAAGTTACTCAGAGTGTGCGTCCCTCTCACCTGCTCACTGCCTCTTTTACGCCTTTTCGACTTTTCGACTCTTTTCCCTTTCCCTACATGGAAATGTTCTTGGAATCTCAGAGTTTTTGGCTAGGCCGCCATTTCTGGTCCAACATTGTCACACATGCTCAACTCAATGCTCGCTGGACGTCGAAGCTCTTTCTAGCGCGTGCTAATTCAGTTGCCGCTCGCTGGGCAGAGTCAATGCTGGCAACTAGGGACTTTCAGAGCCGCGGAGATGAGTCCCATTTCGATACGTAAAACAGGACAAAAATTTCTCGTTTATCCCTGTTTTCCGGACCACTTCAACTTGATTTACGTACCTGCCACCTTGCTACCACCAACCCTGGAATAGACTTACCAGGTAGGGTGACCGAACCAGTCGCTCGTCATTTTGGCATTTGCACCCAAGGATACCTTCGTTGATCAACATGTCGAATACTTAGAGATTTTCCCGCTAATGAAGACTCCCCTCGACGTTTCAGTTCGGAAGATGTCGCTAGCTGGGCTAATCTCTAAGCTCATGTGTCTGAAAGGTCGGCCGCCCATGTCGTTTGGGTTGAAGAGTTCCCTACGTTTTGGATTTTTCTCGCTTTCGTTCAATTTCTAATTGGGGAATCGGAAAGGCCGCCCGAAGAGGTCTTGGACGTTGAGATTTGCCGGGGCCATCTTGACTCTATACTTAATTCAGCCATACTATCACCTCTGGGTTATTGATTCATACTCAATAAGACTTCTTGGTTTCAGGCGTAATGGCTCTGTGCAAGACATGCCCAACGATTTACAATCCAAGGAAAACTCTTTTGCCGGTCCCAACAACCCTCGTCTAGCTTCGCCATTGGCTATGTTGGGAAGGCGAGAGAGAGAGTGTGTGTATATCTTCCTGAGATGTTTCCCCGCGGAATCTTTGAAATCACCTGATGTTTTGACCCCAAAAGGTTGTGTCCATGATCTATTCTGGCTCTTCGCTGGGAAAAACCAGTTGATATCCACACCACTAGCCGAGCTAAAAGGTCCCACAATCCGAGACGTACTACCTGGCATTCGCCACAAACATGTTAACAATGGCATCCCGTAACTATATAACTGGTCAGTTTTGTAAGTCCTATCTCTCTGAGACACTTAGCGTTTCATTTCCATAATCCACCAGGGACATGGCGAGCAAGGTGATCCGAAGTCAAACGTTTACGGGCTCCAACAATCCAGCCCGCCTATTGTTGCGATCCGCCAATGTTAGAGTTTCGGGGACTCTGGCAGCAAATTCCAATATCAACCGCAAACTCTTCAACACCTCCTCGAAGCTTCAAGCTGAGGCCCTTAGCGAGCAACAAAAGGCCATCGTTAAATCGACAGCGCCGGTTTTGCAGGAACATGGCGTCGCAATCACAAGTGTTTTCTACAAGAGGCTCTTGAGCAATCACCCGACTCTCCGCAATATATTCAACACTGCACACCAGGAGACCGGTGCTCAGCCAGCTGCTTTAGCACATGCTGTTTGGGCCTATGCCAACAACATCGACAACCTAGGGGCGCTGGAAACTGCTGTTTCGAGAATAGGGAATAAACACGCCAGCCTAGATATCCAACCCGACCAATACCCAATCGTGGGCGAGGAATTACTCACTTCGATTAAACAGGTTCTTGGTGAAGCTGTGACCGAAGAGGTAATCGACGCATGGAAAGCGGCCTATGGACAGCTTGCAGACATCTTCATCAATTTCGAACAGGATCTCTACAGACAAGCTGAAAACACAACCGGCGGATGGAATGGATGGCGGACATTCACCGTCGCAAAGAAGGTGCAGGAAAGTGATGAGATCATCTCTTTCTACCTCGAACCTGCCGACAAAGATCCTCTCCCTGGGTTCAAGTCGGGCCAATATGTCTCTGTAAGAGTTTTCCTACCGGAACTAGGGATTTATCAACCGCGACAGTACAGCTTATCCGACGTTCCGGATGGTAAACATTTTCGGATATCTGTGAAGAAAGAGTCCGCTAGGGGACAGATTCCAGCTGGCAGGATCTCGAACGTGCTACACGAAGATGTTCCCGAAGGAGCACAGCTCGATGTTAGCATGCCGCGCGGAGACTTCTTCCTGGATATCGACGCAGAGACACCTGTGGTCCTAATCAGCGCCGGTGTGGGAATCACGCCTATGCTGTCCATACTAGGTACAGTCATAGGCCAGAGCACAACTCGCCCCGTCAGCTTTATTCACGCTGTCCGCAGTGGACACGTCCATGCCATGAGGGACTATCTCTCGCGCGTGATGGGGAAAAACCCACAGGTTCAAAAGGCCGTGTTCTATGAGCAAATTGATGAATCGGATAGAAAGGGGGTCGACTATGACTTCGAGGGCAGGATCGAGCTCGATAAGATCAAGGATATTGCCTTACTCCATAACGCCCAATACTATCTTTGCGGGCCTATCCCATTTATGCAGCTTCAGCAAAAGGCATTGGAGGCATTGGGCGTTCCGAAGGAGCGCATTCATTCCGAGGTCTTCGGGTCAGGTGTCGCATGAGTGAAGAAGGCATGCATGCATGTAACGAAGACCTGCACGAAAAGGGAAGTGATGGGAAAAGTGCGGAGAACAGACTTCGAATAGTGTCATGGCCATCAGTTTCTCCCGGCAACGTGGGATCATTATTTCGCCTATTTGGCCTTTTTATCGGCTTCAAGACCGGGTCATTCCGGAGAGACCAATTCTAGATGTAGGTGTGTAAAATGAGGTGTAAAAGTGTGTTGAGACTAGCTATATCTACGCGGTCTGGGAGGCTGCGAGGCTACTTTGAGAGCCGTGAGTACTAGTGTCTTGGCATATTTTACACATGCCGAGTACATAAAGTACAGGGCACCTAGCAAGAGCCTATTTTGTTCTCGCCCTCTGCTCTCAGATAATAAACCTTCAGCCATGCCATTTACTGTCATCGCACAGTTGCTTTGGTTGATGTTTGTTTTTGGGAAGTGGCTGCTGCTTGCCTTTGCTGTTGAATTGAGGCTGCAGAGTTAGCAATTGCTGCCCAGGGTAAGCAGGATCAAGGGCTGAGGAAAGATATATTGACACCCAGCTCTCCCCCTTTGGCGAGAGCATGATACTGCCCCGTGGAAAGTCCACCTTGGCAATTCACTCAGCTTGCCTAATTCTCGACTGGCTGTCTTCGCGACGAATTGCGTCAGTGGGTGAATCCCCTCCGCAGGCTGGGTTCGATATCAAGGAGGCACGGCGACGGCACAATATCGCTCGCACTTGCCTTGCCGGCGTGGTGGGCCTTCAAAGCGATGTTTTCTGGTGGCCATTGGTTGTCGCGAAGTTCGACTGACATTCTCCTGTACTGGAGGTTCTGCAGATAGTAGTAAATCTTATAGGGAGTCAGCCTCAGATCAGGCTCACGATAATGGCACCGTGGTCTTGGTGTATTAAGGCCATCCAAACCGGAGGGCATCCATAAAACTATAGTTTGGTGTCCACCTACTCTGCTACAATTGAGTCCTAGACCCAATGTCTCCTTTCTAGCCCGCGAATTTGGGTCAAGGTAAGGCATCAAACCGATCCTAGTCAAACGGCTAGCTATATAGTTTCCAGGAACCAAATGGTTGTCAGGCTGTGACACGTCAGTTGTTGTTGGATCAAAACTTTCGAGGCAAATTACCGTAGCGGCATGCATAGTACATTTATCGCTCCAAATTTCTACACCCTACTCTGTCCAATACATCCTCGCAATGCAGTCGTAGTTGTCGTGATCAGTCTTGTGATATAATCACGAATGAGTGCGCCCTCGTGAGCATATACATCGTTGATCTTCATACAATGGATCCCGGTTCTAGCAAATAGTGCCTTCCAGTCTGTGACTAGGTGCGTTAGTATCAAAGGGTGTGTATGAACAAACCTACTGCCAATGTTGAGAGGAGATCCACGAGGCTCCATAATCTCCTAGCCACCTTCCTCACTAACTCCTGACAAGACTGGCTGACCGCATGTCTACGTTAGAGTTTCTAGGTAGCTCCTGAAGCTCGGTGAAATGCGGCCATATCTGCTCCAGCCTTAGCTTTGAGTTCTGCAAATACATTTTTTTGGTCTCCTAACATTTCATACATGATAACCTAAAGATTATGGCCACCTGTCGAAGCAGTAGATTTCATGCGCAGGAAACTGAAGTCTGTTGAGTTTCTCTCCCAGAGCACTGTACAACTTAGTCAATCGCCGGTGACGTTACTTCGAACTCAGGTCGCGCAATAACTGTGCCATTTTATCGCGAGGTCTCTGGGCTCTGCAGACTCATGGAGGTTGGGGTTTGGTATGTGCTTGTACATCTTCTTCGCTGCTTCAGTATTGATCCTGTAAGTTCGACAAAGACATCAGCAGAGTCAATAACGAGATAGCCCGGCCTGGCTTTCTTCGCCACACCTGCTCCAGGAGGTGTTCCTGTGAGAATGACCGTGCCTGGTGGAAGCGGGGTTCCCTCGGTGAGAAAGACAATCAGTCGTGGGACATCGTAAATCAAATCCGTCAGGGGACAGTCTTGAACAACTTTGTCGTTTCTAATGCCCCGGATGTGGAAGAAGGAGGGAGTGGGAACCAGAGACTGGGGGACTAGAGCTGGTCCTACAAAGGGAGCAATTAGCGCTTGTGGTGGGCGGTCTCTCGGTGTCTGGGGCCTGGGTACGTTGGACGTATTATGTCACTTACCAGGTGGATTACTTGCATCGAAGCGTACAAGGCCTGGATTTCAGGTTCGTGCTTATAATCTGCGATACTAAAGTGTATAAAGGTTTGCAGGTCATCCATGTGCTTACGTTGGAAGCTCATCCTTCGAGGGATATAGAGTGCCTTCCTGCAAATCCAGGGGTGCGAAAAAGGGGATATCAAGATAAAAACTATGCCTGGAGATTTTATGATGTACCTTTCAGACTTGAACTACTTGTTTCCGTTATCTGCTTTATCTGCAAGGATCCTGCAAGAAGAAATAGTGAGGTAGTGATATCTCAACGCTGTAGTCCTTGGTGTTGTGATAGACCTCCTGACAAAGTTCAGCAGAGACCAATTCAATCCTGATTTGGTGGAGGTAAAATCTCTATGAGAAGAAAGAGAGAAAGAATAACTTCTGTGAATACTTCTAAACAATTCTCTCTCACTCTTTTGAAGTCCCTCTCCTGGGCATATCGAACGAGTCAGTGCGGAAGAGTTATTCTTGCCACTGTGATCGATCACCGGCATTCGCTCCAGTGCAACCAAGTCTGCGACTCAGTGAGACAGTTGTTAAGTTACGAGTAATCATGTGAGAAGATATTGGTAAGGTCGAGCACACAGACTTGTTGTATAATTGAAAAGGGTATGGATCTTCATATTCCCTTAGTGCTTCGATATTAGAAAATTTGGACAAGATGCCTGCAAGGTCAACTGTTTTAAACCATTTCTCATCAGCCGTCTAGTTAGCAGGTCAAACCTAATCAGACTCTCATGCGACGCAAACTTTGAGCATTTGACGACAGCAGAGTCTTCATGACAGTCTTCACATCCTGAGACGGGAGCTCCAACAACTCATTCATCACCTTTCCAGCCTTATCAAAGTCGTTGCCGCTGCAGTTATCTATGTATAGAAAATCACCCTACCGACTTCAATATAGCACTATCTTCCAGTTTCTCATATGTTTATTTTACCTCAGAATCGAGATCGATCACGTTGACAGTCCACTTCTGTCCAGTCAGCTGCTCAAAGCTGGCCAGCAGTTCTGACATCGATGTAGTGAAGCTGCGGACGTACACAATTTTGTTTCTTGTCTGAGCGCGATGGCGGGCGACAGTGCTTGAGCAACGGCTGGTCCAACCATGTCAAGAGTTGAGGTGGAGAATGTGATGTTCTTATACTTTGGATAGATCGTGGCTGTCTTTGTCGCCGTGCTGAAAGGCTATAAACCCAACATTGATTCCCCTACAACAGAAGACTTAGTAACGCAGGGGTACTACGAGAGATCAGGGAGAGGAGACTACGGTCAAAGAAAAAGCCTGTTGAAGATCCCTGTCCATTCGATTTGATCTTTTTTGTTGTCCAAATTGCTGCCGGACCTTGTTTTTCTGGTCGCAGTAGAAGACCAGGCTGAGGCCGACCTCATTGCTGGTGTTGGACCAAAACTCAGAAGGGATAAAACGCTTGACTCCAACCTTGATCACTGCATCGACAAGTCGAATTTGGTGCATGAAGGCGCGCCACGCAATAGTCGAGATGACGACATCTTGACCACTGTGAACAGCAACGAGGGAGTCGCGGCTGTAATCGGTCTTTAATTGTGCAACTCCTCCAGGTAGCTTGCGCGTAGTTGATTTGCGAGAGACGACGGAGACAAAGTACTCATGTGGAGATTGTGTCAAACCCTTGGCCACGGCAGGACTTGGCTGTTCTCAGCGCCTCAAGCTGTACACTCTTAGAGGCAGTGATTAACTTAGATTCCCTCCTCCGTGCCAGTGTTTTTCAATCCAAGGACTGTAAATATTGAGCTTGAAGTTGCTAGACACACGCATATAACTGTAATGTTTTTGAAGAGCATCAAGACAAAATACAAGAACGAACTGCTGGAGAGCGTTGAGTCGTGGTTGGTGAATGAAGGGTCACAAGTCATCTACCAGACATTCATGAACATCTCAATACCATCAGTCTTTTGTTTCACTGATCCAAAATCTTGCTTATAATTCACAATTTCATACAGACTCGGATGTAGTAATATTCGGATCTAATAGCATTGCAATATCGTGTCTTCTTCTCGTAGAGGTCCAGTGTAGCTCGGTTCTGACCTCATTCGGGAGTTCTGGGGTCTCTACAGACGCAAAACATTGTCGTTGAATCCCGTCTCCGGGCAGCAGATGGACTCCATTTATAGCAAATCTTTGGTTCATATTCTCCTTTCTGCCATCCGGGATCTTCCGCCAACTTCGTGTTCCCGGCAGCGGGGATATTATATCCAGCAGCCAAAACTCTGTACATTGCCCCTTATTCAGACTAAGTTGCGAGCTTGGACTTTCCAGCTTTCGACTCCGCAGTTTTGCTTTGAATTTGGTATATTCGCCACCGCAAACCCAATGTTCTTGATCTCCAGATCCTCCGCGATAACCTCTGCAATGGCCTCTTCCTCCGTTTCCCCCATTATCGGGTCGATTTTCTCCACACAGGCTGGTAACCTGGTCTGGGACAGAGACTTCTTGTTCTATAGGAACATTGGCTATCCATGCCCGCAGCATTTCAATATCTCATGATCCTTCTCTCAACTGCGGAGCCTATTCTGCCTATTCTGCCCATCGTGACTATTACAACTACATGGGCTTGGGAGCTGGAGGCGCCTCTCACAACGTAACAGGATGGCTTTTTGTATCTATGTTCTTATGCCCATTTTGTCAGGCTATGCTGAGTCTCAAAGCATACGACCAATTACAGACCAGATGAGTGTTATTGAGGATTTCCCAATGCGTCGTGGAGTCAGACCTATCATTGCTCGACATGTCGTGCCACAACGACAGCTCAGTCAAATTCCGGACGAATCAAGTATGCAGGTGATATTGCTCTGTAGCTGCATTCTCATGTATAATGGCTAATTTTGAAGAATTTTGAAGCTACATTCAATGCATTTTATCAGAAAATCGAAAATCTCCTCAAAATCGCTCCCTCCCTCCACGAGACCCGTGGCAATATCCTCTTCCTCGCGGATCAGGTCACAGGCAACCAACCCATTGTTGGAGAACTGCTCCGGGAGGTGGCACACAGTCACAAAACCGGGGATCATTCTCTCCACGTAGCACTACCACCTAAAGATTGTACGTTATTGGCTCTCAGTCCTCCATCTCGGTCCTCTGGTTTGTCCAAAGCTTATAGTGGCGAAATCTTCCCAGACAAGAAGGTCATACAGGCCGGCTGGGGATAACGGCACGTTTTGTCTGGCGGTATGGTCTTGAATCGCATCGGTATCGATCGCTTCTACCCGCCCATGGAGTACATCCTCATTTACTCGCCCCGAGATCCTGCAGAGATCGGAGTCATCATTAAACTTGTCCGAGCAGGTACAGCCTACCTTGCGAATGCTCTACTTGAAGCTGTTGAAATCTGAAAAAGTTCAAGAGTCGGGAGTACGTCCAGGAGAAACTTAACCAGAAGCACAAACAGAGTGGCTGGCTGAGGTTGTGTGTGTTAGACTAGCCCGATTAGACTATTTCCTGGATCCCTTGGCATTGCAGCAGCCACGTGTGAAATACGCCAAGACGCTAGTAATTATAGCTATAAAAGCAGCTTCCCAGGCCACATAGATTTATCTAGTTCCAATACACTTTTACGTCTCATTTCACACACGTTTAGAGCCTTTTCTGTCACAGCGAGGACTTACAGTGGGGTGCAAAAAGTTTGAATACACCTAATATGGAGTTTTCTTAACTAGGTGTATTCAACCTTTTTGCACTCCACTAGCCGCTTGGAAGAACGGTGATGCAGCGATTCTCAAGCTTTTGCTCTAGAATGCTGGTAGTCGTGTCGATTTGCAGGCCACCAACGAGAAATTGAGAATGTGACTGGAGATCATGCAAGAGCGAGGGTGAGATAAGGTGGTTGAAATCTTGGTTAAGGCGCTAGGGCAAGAGGTAAATAGACGAGAGGATCCAGCGCGTTAAGGAGGATAGATGAGAGGCGAAAAAGGTGGTATGGCTTGATTCTTGAGGATGGTATTTTGATGAAGACGTTCTGTAATACAAGCCAAGGCCTTGAAGGTTGTTAGGCCCCCTTTTACATTGGCCCTCGCCGCCGTCTCGTAGCCTTGTGGTCAGAGCAAAAGGGCAGAAGAAACCAGTGTCACCACGATGAGAGTCCACGAAGTTGCTGCAATGCCAGGGAGAGTTCCGCCGATGTCTTCTCCACTTCCACTTCCACCAACATCACCCGTTTGCGTCCTATTTGCTACTTCTACTGCCAACGCTCGTCCCATTGCTACCAGCCCCTGCTCTGTGCGAAGCTGTTCCAAATTCAATCGTATAGCTCACATTTGCTGGCCACAAAATGAAGCTAGCAATGACTGGGCGCGGTGGAGAACAAGGAGGTGGGTGGCACTATTAGGTGTTCAGGTACTTGAGATCACATCCCGTATTCTACCCTTCCGCCTCAGCGAGACCAAGGGCTGGCTAACAAGAGCGAGGCTCGACCACTAGCAGTTCAGAACTTGGCGATGTTGGAGCCTAGGGGCTCTGCATTTGACAATGAAACTAAGATAAGAACGGCCTGGCAATACTGTAGGTCCGGTACCTTCGGTTGGAGGCTCAGGCCTGCATACGAGGTACTCTTAACAACATGGAATCCCGCATAGGTATACAGTCGTTTTGGTCAACGAAGCCCTTCTCTGCCGGAGACCGTGGCTGACTGATATAAAGTCGCTGAGAGAGTAGAGAATTGATAATTGAAGCTTTCCAAAATATCAGATTCACAATTCTTCAAGGCCTCTGATGTCATGACACCGCCGATGTCCTCAACGAACACCTATGCGCCACCTGCACCCTGATACCTCCGATCACCAGCTAGGAGGGGCAAGATGGGCCCCTTCTGCAAACGTTTCTTCCTTGAGCTAAAGGCTGGCTGACGGATCGGTTCACGGATTCAATCAAGCACCGAATAGTGCCGAAGATGACATCCGGAGCAGACGATATGCTGTACTGGCTACGAACTCGCCGATATACATCGCCAAAGGAATAATATTTGGTATCGAGTCGCTATCCCACTGTAAGGCCACTCCCACCCCCACCCCCGCATTTTTATGTGGGCGCGGCATCCCACCTCCGCATTGAGCGAATTCCGATCCGGCTCCGGCTATGGGGTCAGCCGTTTCCAGAAGCCCGTCGACCAATGGAAGCCCGCTCATTATCCAGGTGAAGTTGCCTCTTGTAGGGAGGGTTTATAGTCGGGTCGCACAGTTATGGACGGTTCTGCGTATTCACCAACTCAGTCTTTCGTCGTGCCCAATTTTCCATCAGACTCTGGACAGCATGGTGGGCATCTACTTCCTGCTGGCTGTGGCAGCCCTGCTGATGGGCTCTATACGCCTGCTATCCATAGGCTGGAGGCCAAAAAATTACCCCCCGGGCCCTCCTACCTTGCCAATTTTAGGCAATCTTCATCAGGTACCTGGGCTCCTTTCGCTGCCAGGACATTCAATCTAACCGATTGGATTTGGTTCTTAGATGCCAACAAGGGATGCTCACTTACAATTCGAGAAGTGGGCGCGCGAATACGGTCCAGTGTATAGCTTGATGCTCGGCACCAAAGTGTTGATTGTGTTGTCAAGTGACGAAGCTGTGAAGGAACTTCTCGACAGAAGAAGCGGCATATACTCGGACCGATTAGACATGTATATTGGCCAAACCCTGTGCAGTGGAGGCCTCAGGCTGCTTATGATGGTGAGTATACATGTCTTTTATTCTCCACTCACTGCTAACTACTTGCGAAGGGATATGGGCCGGTATGGAGGGGAGTAAGTGACATGATATTATGTCAGATTAATTTCTGCTGACTCGTTATCCATCAGTTCCGCAAAATGATCCATGGTCTCCTCAACGTCAACACATCCAAGTCTTATATCCCATACCAGATGCTCGAGAACAAGCAGATGCTGTACCAACTCCTCGAGCAGCCCCACGACTTCCTCAAGCACATCAGGAGGTATTCGAATGCTTTGACAACAACCATGGTCTTTGGTTGGAGGACGCCCACCTACGAAGATGCCAACATGAAGCAGCTCTTCGAAGGATTTTCAGAGTTTGCAGAGATCAACCAGACCGGTGCAGCCGGATTGATCGATTTCTACCCCATCTTGCGGAAATTGCCCGACTTCCTTCTTCCGACGCAGAAGAAGGCGAAGATGCTCCACAAACACGAGAAAGCCCTGTACCTGAAACATTGGCTAAATGCGAAAGCTGACATCAAGAACGGGACCATTAAGCCATGCTTCTGCGTTGGCATGGCAGAGGCTCAGAAGGCCGAAGGCTTCAGTGACGACCAAGCGGCTTACATATCTGGAACGCTTCTTGAAGCTGGTTCGGACACAACCTCGAGTACATTATACGGCTTCCTCCAAGCCATGGTGTTATATCCAGAAGTGCAGAAGAAGGCGCAGGAGGAGATCGACAAGGTTGTCGGCAACCGGCTGCCAACGATGGAAGACGACTCGAATCTACAATACGTCCGGGCTTTGATAAAAGAGTCACTTCGTTGGATGCCAACCACCATCTTGGGCGCGGTGCCACATGCAGTAACCAAGGATGACGAATACATGGGTTATCTCATTCCTAAGGGCGCCGGAGTCATGAATAACGTCTGGGCCATTCAGATGGATCCTAAACGCCACCCCAATCCCCGGCAGTTCGAACCCGAGCGATACATCCACGATACGCAAAGTCTGTACGACTCGGCCGCTAATGCGGATGCCAGCAAACGAGACGTCTTCACTTTCGGAGCCGGGCGACGCATCTGTCCCGGCATGCATGTAGCAGAACGTAGCTTGTTCCTTGGTATATCGCGGATCTTGTGGGCGTTCAACATCGAGCCGGCTGTGGATAGGAAAGGGAATAAAGTCCTGCCGGATCAGGAGAAGCTCACTCAGGGCTTCGTATGCATGCCAGAAGAATTCCAGGCGAAGATAACGCCAAGGTCGCCTGAGCGGGAGAGGATTGTGAGGCAAGAGTGGCACAGGGCCGAGAATGAATGCCTGGATCCACGGACCAAACAGTGGTTGAGCCATGCTCAGCCTTAGGTGTTGAGCAGGCCCAGGTGGTCAGACCAGGGCTGTCTGTATCTATGCTTGAGCGCTAGGCATAGCCTTTCCCAAGCCATGATTGTAGATCTATCAATATACTCCAAGACTCCATATGAACTCATCCTCCGTACCAGCGCTGGTGGCGGAGCGGAATCGGCGGGGCCCCGCTTTTTCCCGCTTTTTTTCTTCGAAGCCGACCCACCATGCCAGCTCGCCTCTTTGCCGAGATCAAATGCCCGAAACTACGTGGGGTTTTCATCCGGGACACTCCAGCGCGCAGGGAAAACGATGGCAATGACTTCGCATTCTCGCAAACAGCCTTACCCTCGCGCAAGACCCGATGGCAGACCATCTAGGTCTGAATGTGTGTCCGACGTGTTCCAAATCGTACAAACGGCCTGAGCATCTACGTCGCCACCAACTTTCACACGGCAGCGAACGGCCCTACGTGTGTGTTCTCTGTCAAAGCACCTTCCAGCGCTCCGATGTGCTCAAGAGACACCTTAAGACTTGCGATAATATAGCTGACGCCTCATCGGAGTCGCTCGAGCCTCAACCTAAGAGGCTAGCGCTGTCACAATCCACTCCGCCAGAAGACACGGCTCTCGCCTTGCCAAGTTCGTACCCGCAACGGTCTCAGCTTCGGGCAACCGAAAATCAGGGACTGAATCCTGTCGAAATCTCTGGAGACTCTTTCGAACATATAGCTGGATGGATCTCCTGTGGCCTGTCGAACCACGGTTTTGACGGTCGATCCGATATCTGGCAGGATTTCTTGAACTTCAATTCTGGCACACAAACACCCCGTGCAATTCCCGACGAGACAGGTGAGGATATCGGCTCCTTGGGCTTCCTTGATACTTTTACCAGTACGACGGGTTTCGTGTCTTCATTCGACTGCGGAACGATCGAACAACGTCGACGAGTCAATGCCTACTTTTCCGAGCCTGCAACCACGTCGGCAGACTCGTCCGGTACATGTAGGGATGATGCAAGTTATTATGAAGCTGACGAAGACCATCCCGTTGGAACGACCCTAAGTCGGTGGCTCTCCGACCCCCTGTCTTTTAAGTGTCACGAAATAGTCACCTCCATCAGAAACATTGTGTTTCACAAGTCCAGAAGGGGTTACATTACCGTATCATGGTCGCCTACCATTCATGAAACATGTGCACAGTTCTTTTCTCCGACAAACATCCGACGGTTTGTGCATTTATACTGGGCGATCTGGCATCCGAATGTGAATATTGTACACAAGCCGACGTTCGACCCTACGTCGTCCAAAGCCGAGCTTCTGGCGGCCATGTCTCTCATCGGAGCGTGTGTCTCGCCCGACCAGGCCGACGTCGAGAACGCGAAACGGTGGTTCAACTGTGTTGAGGAAATGGTATTCGACGATGAGGATTTCTGTAGTGAGCCGCCCAATGCCATCTCCGAAGACCAGTGCGACCTCTGGTGGCGCCGGCAAAAGGTTCGGGCTCTCCAGGCGTCGTACATGGTCTGTCTCTTCCAGAACTGGGAGGGTACAAACTCCAGCAAGCGGCGAATTCGGCGGCAGCGCTTCGGCATGGTCATCGCAGCTGCGAGGGACGTGGGTATCCACAATGCACGACATCCGGATTACGACCACATGGACCTTTGCGACTTTTCCTTCGACAACTTTGCTGTCATCGAAGAGCTCATCCGCGTGTTTTTGTGGGTGTTTCTTCTCGACACAGCGTTCGTCATCTTCAACAACTTGCCCCCACGGATGGTCATCCGGGAAATGAGGATGAACGCGGCTTGTTCCGAAGCATGTTTCCAGGCTATGACGGCTGAAGAGTGCTTCAGAACTCTGAGGCACCAGGCCGTGCACCAGCACCAAAATGACTCGCTCGTACGCTCTCCACCGGTGTCAAATAACTTCACCTCGGCCTTCGAGCTCCTCTACCGTACTGATCTGGACGACACCCTAAGCGCGGCGCTGGCCGATCTGGGACCTCTCAACCTCTTCGCCATGACCTCGGCGTTACACTCTCTGATTTTCCACCACCAAAGCTCCTTCAGCTGCCAGGGTTCGCTCGATCCGATTCACAACGCGCTCCAGTCATGGAGGAAGCTGTGGCACGTTTACCTGTACCGGTTCGCGCGGGACTCGCACCATTCGACCGTCAAGTGCGACATGGAGGTCCTCGCGCCGGACGACATGTGGAGACGTGTGGGCTTCATGCGCCACGCAAACGAGTACTGGTACCTCGCCAACCTCATGGTCCAGCGTCTTTCAATGCCGCCACTTACGGATCCTAGCGAGAGCGCCGTGGAGGCGTCCGGACAGGCCCAGAGCCCCTTGAGTGCTTCAGGCAATGAGTCGGTCGGCCCTCTTCTCGAGAAATATGACGAGACTAGCATGCAACAGGTGAACACGCTGATCTCGGACTTTCAAATGTTTCGTATCCACTAGTGTTGGCTTGGGTGATGCAATACCCATTATACCCTGTATTTTGCTGTTTAAAATTTGTGGATCCAATGAGATTTGTCATTTCGTCGTATGAGTTTCTCAAACATTGAAAGGCCTACTGTAATTCATTCTATGCACACACGCATTTAGTCAGCTTTCTACATCTAGCAGCCGACACTTAATCTTCGCGACAACTTGAGAATTAAGATACGCAAGCATTCACATCTGTGGCGTTAGCCAATCATTGCTTCGACTTCCACATCAGAGATGTAGAAGCAGTGAGTAGTTTCATCCTTGGTAGAAACCAAAAACTTCCTCCACCACGCAACCATGAATGATGAAAATCATCAATCCAGTTGAAATCCCTCATATTCGTGTTCAGCACTCTCATTCAGCGTCTTGTAATAGGTCGGAACCCCCCCAAGATATATCAGCGGCTCTCTGATCTTCCCTGGGATGTTGTCGCCCATATACCACTATGACTCGGTCAGTATACACAAATTCCGAGCGTGCAGAACAGAGTGGTACACAAGACTCACCGATTTTGTAGTGGGCAACAGCGACGTGTTCGCAATGGTTTTGACGCCTTGGGCCCAATCTGTTTCCGCCTCTTCGTGTGCCTCGATCGACTTCAATCCTCTTCCCTGCATGTAATTCATCAACTTAACGATCCATTCGCCTTGCAACTCGGCGCAAGTTGGGCCATTGCACAATGCCGTCGGCGCTTGAGGCCCATAGGTGAAAAATAGGTTTGGGAATCCAGACACTGCCATGCCTAGATATGTCCTAACACCTTGCTTCCACTTATCCTTGAGACTCTGTCCTAATTTTCCACGAATATCAATTTCGTTAAAACCACCGGTAAATGCATCGTATCCTGTAGCAGAGATGATGTAGTCAAATTCCCATTCCTTTTCGGTCGTCTTGATGCCCTTTTCAGTCACCTCGAGCACTGGAGTTGAATTGACATCCACCAAATTAACATTCGGTTCATTGAAAATCTCGAAATACCCGTTTTCTAATGATATTCGCTTGCATCCGAATGCATGAGGCTGCACCTCTGGGGCTAGGACTTCCTGTAGTTTAGGGTCTCTGATCTTTGCCCTAACTTTGTCGCGCCAGAAGTTGTAAGCTTCCCTGTTAGCATCCCAGTTAAAGAGCATATCTTTGTATCCAGCTAGCCAGAAGTGGAAGTCGCCTTCATCCCAAAGTTGTTGGTAGAAGTTTTGACGTTGCTCGGGAGTATCGTCAAACGTGGCTCGATTGATGAACTCGAATGAGAGACCTCCGAAACTTCGTAATCTCTCTTCGAAGAATTTGGGGTATTTGTCTCTTGGGAATGCCTGTTCATCCCCGAAGTACTCGATTTGCTTCATAGGTAGAGCCAGATTTGGTGTCCTCTGAAAGAGGACAAATTGCCGGGCCACTTTGCTAATTTCTTGGGCGAGTTGAACACCAGTAGAGCCAGTGCCGATGATAGCGACCTTCTTGCCTCGTAGATCCGGGTCCTCCTTTGGCCAATAAGATGGATGCACCCAAGTTCCTTGGAACTTTTCGATACCGTTCCAGTCCGGTATGTGCCTTTTTGCGGCAAAACCAGTATTCAGGAGAAATTGTTTCACTTTGAATTGTTTACCGTCCGCAGTAGTCACCAACCATCTGGCGTTACTGACGTTCCATTCTGCAGCGGTCACGCGCGTGTCGAAATATGTGTCTCGCCGTAAATCCCATTTTTCAGCCACGAATTGAAAGTAGTCACGTAGCTCTGCGGAACCTGGGAATCGCTGGCTCCATGACCAATCCCGCCAAATCTCAGGATCGGAAAACTCATAGAGTGGAATGGCACTGTCGACGCGCGCACCAGGATACCGATTCCAGTACCAGACACCTCCGTAATCGGACGCAAAGTCAATCAATTTTACTTTGTGCCCTTCCTGGCGGAGCCTTCGAAGTTGATAGACCCCACCAAAGCCTGCACCAACAATGAGTGCGTCAAGATCTTCGACAACTCCTGGTCGAGGACCGGTGTTCAATGCAGTAGTTCCATTCATTGTCTCGGGGTGCTAACAATATGAATGAGACTGCAGGGATATGTAGACTAGAAACAGATGTGTTGAACAGTTCAACCAGGTCAGGATGCAATCAGAGCACAACACGGAGGATATTTAAACTCAGTCTTTCTAGCAAAAGTATGCCAAACTATCCCAAGCTCAGAAAGCACACCAAAAAGAGTCATGCTGCCTCGGGGGAAAGGAATCAGATTTCACCTATCTTGACTCTCTGAGCACGTTACGAAGAGATTTTGCGATCAATGCCGAAATGAGGCTCGGCATAATGCCTTGTTTCATGATGATTTCTGTGCTGGATAATGCTCGTATTGCCCCGAAATGGGGGAGAAATTGAGCGGGGGTGGGATTGAAAACCACTAACAGCATCGGCCCATTGTTACTCCAGACGTCTGCAATGTAGGGGCCAGGGTTCTTATCACTGTCAGCGCACGAAACGATTCCGGATAGCTGCTGAAAAGCACTCTTGCTCGCATCAGTTATCTCGAGGTGAATTTGATTAGTTGCAGAGTGGATAAAGAGAGGGTGAAGATAGCCGCGGCCGAGGCTCTCGCCGCTTCGGCGACTTTTAATGCCCGACTAGAGCATTGGGAATCGATGCATTCCGAAGTCTCTGCACCGCTCAGCGGGTATGGCTGGAGAAGTTGTGAGGATTCTCAACGGGGTGCGGTGAAAGAAGGTGGTTTGGGCTGCCCGTGGTCGAACAAATGAACGGCTTTGCTTCGAGGCATTGGTGTTGCAACGTCGGTTGGAAACTCTTCCCACTTCTCAATGCTTCAACAAAATTATCTGCATGATGATAGCCGAATTCCTAAACCATAGGATGGATATAGTGGCTCCTGCTTGGATGTATCTTGATTCACCCAGCCAAAAAGAACATTCCTACAACATGTCGCTCTATCGCAAGAGAATTTAGAGAAGTGGAGTCCGACAAGGTGCGCTGGTCGTAATCGATGACGGGCTTAGGGAGAGACACCTAGCGATGCTTTAGTTCGAAGCCTGGTGAGCGGTTTGCAGATACCAGATATTGCCAGGTCATTTCGTCAATCTGGAAATTTCGGCCAAATTTGCGTAGCAGTAACTGTATGAACCCAGTCATGGCTCCTCTTTGTTGATGATCTCCCGGTTGCAATAACATTATCAATTACCAAACATGGGTTAGAAGTCTGCTTGGCCGAGCAGGACAAAAGGAGTAATCCTGAAGAAGTTCAGAATCTAGGGTTATAATGTGTCCTTGTGAACAGGTCGCATATGTGCATTCCGGCAGCTGCTGACATAAACATCAGCGAGGCTCCAGCCCCTGGACTCGACACGCGGCTTTCCCTCCCCCCTTTTCGAAATTGCACCATGGGTCTTGCGAGACCTGATAGATACATCTGAATACGAGCTGTAAGTGGTGTTTCGAACGCTTCCATGGGTTTCGGATGCGTGGTCAAGACCAACTCTACTTCTTCCTCACTGGAAGCAACTTCCGACTTCCATCATCAAGTCAAGAACTCGGACGAATGCGATAGAGACATCTGAATCTCACTGCATATCGCGGGCTCGGATGGCCGGTTGACATCGTCAAATGTCGACTCTTGGATCTGCAAGTTCGTGCCCTCCCACTGCAGTCCTTGCACGGGGATGTGCTGTGTGATCATATTCGAAGCTTCTAACGGAACGTCTCAGCTCAAACGGTGACAGATGTAACAGCGTGTAAACATAGAGATGCTGTGGAGGGAGTCGTGAAGGGGTCTTTCGTCCTTTCCGTCAGATTTGGTGATATCCAAAAAAAAGAAACAGAAAAGAAAAGAAAGGAAATGGCAGAAGCTCCATAGCCTCGTTATGTCGCTGGACATCACCCTTCCCTTTCTCACATTGGCGGCCATCATTCGATATTTCAGTCTTTCAAAATGCTAGTCAGAATTCTGGCAAGCACTCCTCGAACATTCTGCTCATTGCCAGAGTTCAAAGTCGTTAAAACCATTGCGACACTTGTAGCAAAAACTACTTGTTCTTTATGACGGTATTGGCTATCATAAACGCGAGGAAGAATCGTTGCCAACGCTCTCGGCGCCACGAAGAATGCAATTTCCTGTCGTCGACTTGGCTTCTCCAGGAGGACGGACCAGCCACAGGCAAGGCAGCCTGCCAGGATACAGAGTCCCGAATCCCACATCTGGGGCGTTACTGTCTTGTACGAAAAGATCCAAGGGCCAAGGCGAGTCCGCGCGAGGCAAACAGCGTAATAAAAGGAAGCGACAAAGCCAGCCAAGAAGGATGAGGACCTTGCTGCAGCATGAAGAATCGTCCAAACCGACTTGGGTTTCGGTGAACGCACGAGTGTCAGCAGTTGGAGAGGCATGTATATCCCCATGGCGAATCTCCAACTTCTCCAAAACCGGGAAAGCGCATGCACTTCACAACTTTTGCCCGTTCCACAGTGATACAGCTCACAGGGTATCGGGATGGTCTTGGAGGGGTCGGCGAATTCGTCAGGCAGCCCCAGCTCCCGGCAAAGGCCGGTCAGAAGCGGTGTTTGGGCTGTATCCTCGCCGTAGACGAAATTGCCTTGTCGAGCTAAGCGCAGTGCTTGAATCAGACGAGGGTCTATCTCAGCGGCTTTTGAGATCCAGTGATTATAGGCGCGGGGGAGTCGTTCAGGCGAATAAAACCATGACCACATGATGACTGCAGCGGAACCTGCAAACACTGACGGATCCGCAATCTTGCGGATGAAGTTTGAAAGTCGCGGGTATCGCTGTTCTGGAAGCCATGGACTCGTTCTCGTTCTCGTCCAAACAGTTATCACCATGACATCTAGCGCTCGGCAGAAGGCGAATGCTGTAAAATCAATGGTTTTGCCAGCATATTTAGGATGATAGGACGGCGGGAGCGGTTGTTGCAGATTTAAAGTGTGCTGATCACTGGCATTGGCAGTGGGTACGGATCGAGATATCGCACGCCTTCGAACCCAAGTTTCATCACGGTTGAGCAAGGTAAACGCCAGCCATGCTGACCAAAAGGAACACAGGAAATTGATGCATGCCGCGAGGTTCCTGCTCAGGCGTGCGGATGCTCCCCTGCCAGGTGCTGAAAGGAGGGATAGAAGAATGGTCTGGACCAGGTTGGGGAGGGCAGTTGCTCCACCAATGATGATGGCGGCGGCTGTCGGGAAGCGATTAAACTGGGCGGATGTTACAAGAATCTTGCGGAGGAGAGCCAGAGCCTCTCTTGATGCCAGACGGTCGCGTCGAAGGATCCTCAAGAGGCCCAAGAGCCTGGGCGCGGTCACGGTGAGATATCCCAGGGCATAAGCTCGGAGGAGGGGTTTGAGGGCATTGAGACGGACGCGTCTGTGGCGATGCATTACGATATCTGGTGGGTGTCAGGGAGGAGATGTGGTGGCGATGGCAAGGAGGGGAAAGATGTTGCACTAGTTGTGTGCACGGTGAATCGAATCGCGAAAGATTGGGATGGTGACAAGACGAGGACGGCCAAAAGAGCCTCGGTTCAGCCCGCCAGCCTCGCAGCCTGACAGGCCACTGCCAAGAACCAGCCTGGCGATACGGATCCTCGGTTATTCCGGATTACAAGTAGGTATGTATGTACATACCTCGTATTTCCTCGTATGTAATCGGCTGATGATCCTACATATTATGGGGTACTTGGGGGTACCAGGGTGCAGTGACACAGCAACTTGCCGGAAATGAAGATGGACGCAGCATAACCAGCCATTCATTGAAATTAGATCTGCGCATCCTCGTTCGAGTAGAGTTACCTACCGGTGGCTCACTATGTGCGAGTGGTGCGAGGACTGTTCGGGAAGTGGTAGTGATAGCCGTAGGTCCGGTGTGAGGTACCTCGTATTTGACCTAAGTACCTTAATTACTTGGTCCCAAAGCGCTATATTGTGTCACTATCTCAGCTCCCTTCACACTCTGCCGTAATAGATCCATCCTGCCTTCTTTCTTTTGCTCTTCCTTCCTTCTCCTTCACGCTCCTCTCTTTTCTCCCTCCCCTCGTCGCTTTCGCGTTCGCTCGCTTTTTCTTTTCTGTTCTCTCCCATCACAGTCGTTATGTCCATCCTCTCCATCCTTTTGGCTGCTCTGGCCGCAGTACCTTGGATCCCTGCGTCGCCACTGTATCCCCGTTCCGACTACAATGTCAAGGAGTCCAACAACGTCCCTCCCGCATGGGCCAATATTGGCCGTCCCCATCCCTTGCATCTCTTGACCCTCAACATCGGCTTACAGCCTAGTAAATTCCATCTTCTCGAGCAGCACCTGCATCAAGGTAAGCCGAGTCTACCCTGTACACTGTTAAAAATAGTCCGCTAATTTTGCCTAGTTTCCGACCCATTTCACAATCGCTACGGCCAACATTTGTCCCAGCAAGAAGTCCACGACCTTCTTCAACCCTCCGACGAGACGTTCAATCTGGTTTGGGATTGGCTGAGCAACAATGGCATTGACCCGTCCCATTGCGAAATCAATTCTGCCCGGGATTGGATCACTATCACTCTCCCCGTCAACAAGGCCGAAGAGCTGCTCGACACCAAGTACTCCGTCTACCAACATCAAGACGGCACCAAGCTCATTCGAACCTCCAGCTGGTCTCTCCCGCGCTCCCTCCATGACCATGTCACCACCATCCAACCCACCACTGCTTTCCTCCGAGCCAATCCCAAGGCCAGTACCCTCATTGATGTCCCAATGGACCTTGACATTTCCCAGCTCACTGCCGCCGCGAATGCTACCACCATCAAAAGCTCCTGCAACTTTGGCGGCATGACGCCCAAATGCCTGCGAACCCTGTACAACACCATCGATTACAAGCCTCAAGCTGCCCACAACAATTCTGTCGCCTTCACAAACTATCTAGGCCAAGTTTCCAACCGGTCCGACGCCCAGACCTTTCTACGGAACTTTCGTTCTGAGGCAATCGACTCCGCCTACGCTGTCACCCAGGTCTCGGTGAATGGCGGAGCTGTTGATAATGGCACTGTGGGGGCGGGCTTAGAGGCCAACCTCGACCTTCAAACCATCCTCGGAATCGTCTATCCGACTCCCGTTACCTTGTACTCTACCGGTGGCGAGCCTCCGTTTCAACCCGACGACCTCACCGAGACGAATACGAATGAGCCCTACCTGACCTGGCTGCTCTTCTTGCGTGACCAAGACATCACAACTATTCCCAAGATTATCTCCACTTCCTACGGCGACCATGAACAAACCGTCCCCCAAAGCTACGCGAAGACCGTGTGCAATCAATTCGCCGCCTTGGGCGCCCAGGGAATCTCGCTGTTCTTCAGCTCAGGGGACTCGGGCGTCGGTGAAAACTCCAGCTGCATCACTAATGACGGGACAAACCGAACCACTTTTATACCCATTTTCCCCGCCTCCTGTCCGTATGTCACTTCCGTCGGCGGAACCATGAACTATCCGGAAGTGGTCGCCTTCGACACGCGCAATTCGTATGCCTCCGGGGCCGGTTTCAGCAATTACTTTCCTCGGCAGAAATGGCAAGACACCGCCGTGGGGCGATATCTCGATAGAATCGGTGACCAGTTTAAAGGCCTGTACAACCGTTCAGGTCGCGCGTACCCAGATGTAGCGGCGCAGGGGTATAGGTACCTGGTCTTTCTGGACGAAACCGTCAGAAGTGTTGATGGCACCAGCTGCTCCGCCCCAACTATTGCTAGCATCTTCTCACTGGTGAATGATGCACTCGCTGCAAGGGGTAAGCCGCCAATGGGCTGGCTCAATCCCTGGCTCTACCGGAAAGGCTTTGCGGCATTTACTGATGTGGTCAATGGCAGCAGTGTCGGCTGTAAGGGGCCCGGATTCAGTGCGGCCGAGGGGTGGGACGTCGCAAGTGGCTTCGGCACTCCGGACTTCGAGAAAATTTTGGATGTGCTGGAAATTGGAGGGTCTTGAATGGCTAGATCCTCAGTGAAAGCACCCTATATTCTTACCCAAGAGATCTCAGTGCGATGTCCCACCCCATGGAGGTGGTGTCCAGAGGACTCAAAGATCTGCTTAATTACAAAATTTCACAAATTGAGCAGTGAACGAATGATGAAAACTAATTTAAGATGAGGTCAACGGATGAACTTGCCCGGTATTCGGCACAACCACATGGACACGACGTGATGAGACGGAGTGAATCCGCAAATACAACAACTACTCAACAGCAAGCATACTGGAGACAGGCCAAGAAGGAAGCCTGAGCGGACGTTGAAGCCCAGGGCCATGTGTACTTTTCTAGAGTATCCGAATGATGCGGAGGCTGGCTGACTGCACGACGATCATGTAAATCATAGTCTCCTAGCCACCCCAGGCATTGATTATTTGATCTCCATGCAAGCCTTCACTGAGCTTCCCCCAAAGCGCACGCAGATTCATTCTCTGCGTAGATTCCCCGCCATCAACCAGCTATGTAGTTGGGAGACCGCAAGAATCAAGATCCGTGCCTAGCGACACATATACTCCTACTCGTACCTGACGGTTCTCCTCTCCCACTCTCTTTCTCGGTCTCGGTCTCAGCGAGTTCAAGGCTGGGTTCTATCACGCTACCGATCAAGATCTACACTCGAGGGGGAGAAGAGGTCTCTCTCGTCTGAATCACACTCAAGGTCCAATTTGAACAGGATCTAAGAGTAGTTGAGTTGAGAATTCGAGACATGGCTCGTATGTATACCCTCTCCACATCTGCCTGATGCATGTCCCTTATGTGAGTTTCATACGAACGACCAGCCAGTCAGGTGGTCGGTCTCCCAGGCGGACACCCACGTCGCTGATTGTGCCTGTTCCAACGCCTTGATTTCTTCAAGGCGCTTCAGATAATTTTGACCCTTTCCTTTCAAGAGCCCTCATCTGAAAATCCCTGCCACTTGTTACATAGACACTATATTTCCGGCGGACCATCCCATTTCCAAGCACGATGGAGCATATGACCATTTAAGCGGCTTCACAATTCCATCGAACACCAGCCTACCCATTGCACGCGATCCGTCGCACAGAGTCAAACTCGCCGAATTTACCGGCCTGACCGTTGTGTTTTGTATTCCGCGAACAGGTATTTGGCCATCTCTCCCTGCACTATCCTTTTTAACGTTCCGATATTGAGATATGGTCATTGACCAGCCGCACCCGATGAAACCGTTCCCGACTCTTGGAACTCCATCCCAGGCGCAAGAGGGTGCACGCCACAGGCCTGCTCCTTCTGGGATAATCTGCCTGAACTGCTCACATTTATGGCATCTCCACCCCGTCGCCCTCATATCAAGCGGAGGTGCATCAGCGGCTGCACCTCCCCTATGACCTTCTGAATGACGAGGAGCTAGAGTTCCAGAGAGGGTTGAATCTACCGACATTCGATTGGGAAGGGGAGAAGGTTCTCAGACGTTCAATGATCGCGCTTCAGGATGGCAAGGTAATGAAATGGTGGTTTTACCCCCGGACCGCGGTGTGGATGAGTTGATTGAGTGGTTGAGGGGGCAATAGGAACCGTGGCAGTCTGCGACGGTTCCGAGCACGTGAGCTCCGCGAACTTGGGAGGCTGCTGGCTGTGGTTTTGTTTTCTGCCCTTCCTTTTGTTGTGTTCTCTTTTCATGCTCCTGCCATGGCCATAGGGATAGTGGTCAGCACTCCGTTCTTATCATATCTTGCTTTGAAGAAAGTATAACTCAGGGTGATGGTATCGATTCCCTTCATTTGTGGATCCTTAGCAAATTCAGGGTCAATGAAGAAGAAAACAGGCATGTCGACCGTCTCGCCCGCATTCAACCTCTGCTCTTCGAAGCAGAAACACTGGATCTTGCTGAAATACGGTGCCACTTGCGCAGGCGTCACAGAATATGTAGCCACGCCGATGATGTCTGCATCCCCCTTATTTGTGGCCGTGTAGAATGCCAATGCGGTCTCGCCAGGAAGAACCCGGACTTCGCGTTGCTGCGGTGTGAATTTCCAAGGGAGTATGTCGGAAACGGAACCATTGAAGGTGACACGCAAACGACGATGGTCTTCGACGGGTTTCAGACGCACAGCAGGGTCTCCGGCGGAATCGTGGGCCTTGACGGGTTGGCCGGACCAGCCTGTTTGTTGACATATCTAAAGAAGATTCAGCAAGATGAGGATACTGTTTGCTCTTTAGGTGTGGAGGTACTGACCATTTTGTAAAGAGGGACCGAAGCATAAGAGAGAGCAAGAAGTAGTATTCCCGCACTCAGACCATAGTAGCTAAGCTCATAATCAGCTGCCCGCATAGCGTACATTTACCCTTTCAATATACACACAGGGTTGTCTGGTTCTTCTCCCGAGATTGGGCTCTGGCAGCCTCGAAAGCATTAGCATACTGAGAGGTTTTGGTTGACTGCGAAAGCGGACGAGTTCGCGTTGGGGGTTGAAAGAACCTGGAGGCTATATCATGAGTCTGAAAGTGACGTAAAGATCTACAACAGCCAGATATTACTCGTTCAGAGAGACGAGACGGAGAAACCATAGTGAAGGCTGCAATGAACAATACGAATAGTTGGTAGCTCGATTCACATTCGCAAAGCTATAGAAACTTTCCGCAGTGGTGTGAGCGTGGTACGCGTAGCTAGCATATGGGCTACCGTAGAAGTACCCAGTACGGCGAATTATTGTGCCTCATTTGTCAGCCTTGCGCAAGCTCAGCCTTGTACCCAGTACCGAGTACTCGGCCAAACCTTCCCTCCAACAAGCTGTCTACTATTGTTTGTTTGCTGGCCTCACTGCCTGCAACAACTCAATCTCAACGTCCCACCTACTGCATGACAATTTGGAACCAGATCAATGGATGGCTCTTTCACCAACGAACTACCCAGTAGGTTGGGCAGAATGCTCAATCCCTGGCTAGCGCATCATTTCCCCTAACATGCTCGCTCAGGAGAACGGCCGCGGGCGCCGGTTTTAAGTTGTTCCAGGATCTAAGGGAAAAGTGGAGGACACCAAAAGGGTCCCTGTCGTCCGTCTCCCATCCAGAATGCGCGAGTGACACACAGACACCAATCACGTCAATCCTTCTGTGGCACGTTGGGGAACTCCATGGCATGGTCGAATGTTTGATTGTTTTGTGGTACCAATACACAGGCACGGCCGCACGGCCGCGCGCCAGCTTGCATCACCCTCACCACTACCCGCAGTTACTCCTTGTACCGTCGCCATTATTCCTGGTTCGTTGGCCCCTGGAAAGCATGACCAAGTTTCACGCCATTCGCAAATTCCCGTCCAAGCTTCGTGCTACAGCGTGGCTTTGGCTTGTGACGACTCGTCTGGAATTCTCGCCCTCGCAGTAGCCATTACTGCTCATTCCCAAGCCCTCCTTGCTTGGACTTGTCCATACCTGCGCGTTAAAAGCATGTCTCCAAGCAAAGCGCTAGATCAAGCTACATCTGGTTGGCGAGCGCCCTTTTCTCGAGATCTTCTCTGAGTGTCAACAAGCTTTTGTGTCCCGTTCTCGACTCCTTGATTCCCTTCTGCACGCCCGCCTTCAACGTCTCAATTATGAGAATTGGTTGGCTCTCTTCTCGCCAATTTCAGCGTCGCCTCCTTATCTCTCTCATCCTTTCAGCCCTTGCCGTTTGGTGCTGGCTCCCACGAAGTCCAAAACATGAATTGCAGCCAGCGGAGTTGGAGCGGCAATATCCCTTGCTTTGGCGGCACGTGCATTCGTTCAATGGTAGTGGAGGAGGTGCGTATCTCCCAGTACTAGGAGTTCGGCAAACGAGTCAACAACATGCCCTTTCCATTATTCATTTCTGCTTCGGCTTCCCGCTGACAAGCTCCAGCATGGTATATCCCGCCCTCCTGGCTGTCGTCTGCCGATGTTCAGCCGGAGACAATAGTCGATGCAGCCCTTCTAGCTTCGCAGGCTGCCAACAGCAACAAGCGCCGACTCATGGACCATTCTTCCATTCCGTTGCTACTGCACCAAACATGGAAGAATCGATGTGTTGACACGTGGTCAGATCTGCTCCGCGCCAGTGTGGAAGAATGGTTGAACCATGTGGTGTCTGACGACATGGCTTACTTCTTCTGGGAAGACGACGGCATTGTACAAATGTTGACCGAATTTGAACCGCAATTTGTTCATCAATTCGTTTCATTGCCTTCCAACGTGGAACGGGCTGATGTTTTCCGCATTTTGGTCTTGAAATGGTTTGGTGGAATTGTAAGATTTTAATACTTGTACCACACGCGATCAGCGTTCTCAGCTAATCAACGTCACTCCAGTACGCAGACGTGGATACTCGACCGCTACGCCGGCCTGCTTCTTGGATCTCAGCCTCCGACCTTGCTGCTTGGACGGACTCCGTCGCGGAAATGAGCTTTTCTTTCGACAACCCAGTAGGCAGCATTCTTGGCATAGAAGCTGATTGTTCGCCCAACAAGAATGATTATTGGCGTATGGGATATTCTTACCCTGTGCAACTTACGCAGTGGGCCTTGGCTTCAAGCTCGGGCCACGCCATTCTTCTACGCTTCATGGACATCCTTCAACGCAGGCTGGAGGATGTAGCCAGGCGCAACCGGGGAGATATCAACGCTCCAGAGGCAGTCAGGGAACTCCGACAGATTGGACCCTTGTCTTTGACAGGACCAGTAGCCGTGACAATCGCGGCAAAGACTTGGTTGGAGCAGCGAACAGGACTGCGGTGGAACGGTCTGACGGGATTGCTGGACGGTGGTCAAAGCAAGCTCGTGGAAGATGTTCTGGTTTTGCCAATCACCGGATTTAGGTACGCGTCGCTCTTCCCTGTTGCAGTTATATCATTCAAATACTCACATCGGTCAGCCCCGGTCGAGGCAGATATGGCAATATGGGGTCCAAGCCAGTCACGGATCCGTCAGCGCGAGTTTGGCACCGGGCGCAAGGGTCTTGGCGGTCATTCGACCCAAAAGTCGAGTTTGGGAAAGTCTGTCGGACCTTGTTGGGATTGTGCAAAGACTGGTCGAAGCAGCCAGATTGATCGAGGGAGTGGTTGGCTGGACGCCAAGTTCGACCAGTTGGAATTTTAGACACGATCTTTTCGGCGGCTCAAATGTGAAGGCAGCACAAGTACTAATCGTCGGCAGAGTTGTACAACATCGTATAGGCGTCTAAGAAACGGTGAGCGAGGAATATCTCGCTTTCATTTTGTCGAGTGTTGGATTTTGTGTTACTGATCTGACATCGGGTTGGAAAAGCCACTGATATACTCCAAATGGGTGGCATTCTCAATATGCAGGGATTGCCGCTTGCACGGCCTTCCACAACGCTTAGCATTGCATCCCTGAACGCTAAAAAAAATTCGGTCAGGCGTTTGTATCTGAGTCCTCAGCGTTCTTCCCTCACCCTGCCATCCTGATTCATCAATCTGGCATTCAATAGCGAAGGGTTATCGAATCTCATGTGAAAGTAGACACCATCAGTAGCGGTGAGGCCGTGGGCTTCAGGCTTGCACGATATCTCTCCCGACTGCGTTCCCGCAGTTCATCGACTTTATTTCCACACAGAAGCTCTGCTCCAAAGTCGACTTTTCCGAAGCATCACAGCTGAGTAAGAAAGCGTTCGATTCCTGTCCCAGGACTCTTTGAAGAAGGAACGGGTCATACGGGTTTTCCTTTGGGAAATCTCAACCACCTAAGTAATGTTTTAAAGCTATGTGCCTATAAACGCCGTGGCTAAAGTTGCCAATCGCAGGGGAGGGCAGGTATAGACCATTGCCAACTATTCCAAGAGTTCATTTTGCTCTCACCCAGCTTCAACGCGGTCTCTCTTCCGTCAAAACCACCTCGTTTCGCCAGCCACCCTTGGCCAACCCTGTAAAGACCTCTTGCATGGATATATGAGTCCAGATGATCCCTGCATCGTCAAAGATGCACTTCATTCCGGCGAGCAGCATCTCCTTCTGGATGGGGTCGGCCAGCACCCCGTAGCACAAGGGACCCGCAAATGTCATATAGAAGGCACCGAAGGGCTTGGTTGTCTTCGCAAAGTCAAGTGCCTCTAGGATGTAGGTTACGGATTGTGAGGTCTGTAGTGAGAGAGCTGGGTTGGTAGCCGAGAGTAAGCCTTGGAGAACTGTGTTAATTAGGATAATGCAGGCGTGGTAGAACGTGGCTTGTTTGATGTACCGTGCCGGCTGGAGCGACTCAAGCTCGGTCTCAGGATGGAAATCGGGAACAGGCGATGGGCCTCGGTAAGCTCGTGAGTAGGTGGCATACACGCCTGGTGTGGAGAGGTTACGCGTGACGGCGTCAGAGTGGAAGACGATCGAGGCGCGGATGGTGTACATTTGAGAGAGCAGCTCCGCATCGAGATTTGACGAGCTCGACGATGGAGTCGCAAGATCCATTGCCCTTGCTCGCACCAGTAACCCAGGCAGCCTGGCAAGGGCCGTCCATAACTCTGCTGTGATAGGGCTCTCCCAGCCATTCCAAGTCCTGCGCATTGCATTTGCCCATTCAGGTCCGCTGAGAAAGCAGTCCTCGCCACGCAACAGGCATTGCGTGATGATTGTCGGATACTGCGTCATGAATATTGCGACTTCAAACTCCGACGACTGCACTCGACCCGGGCCACAACCCCTGAGAATGGCGGAGACGCCACCTGAAAGCGTGACAAAAGAGTAAGCTGGGCCAGGTTTCAGAATTTCATACTGAGCGAGAAGAAGCGATGCGCAGAGTGTTTCAGACGGCGTGGAGAGTAGTCCATTGTCGTCGTATTGGGCCAGCTCTCGTCGAAGCGCGGAGATGGTCGTACAATAGCGTGCCAGCTCAAGAGACTTGTTGCGAGGCTGGCCCACGGAGACAGCAGTGAAGGAGTACAGGAAACAATTGACTGCAGCGTCAAGGGCCCCGCTCCGGCCTATACGAGGTGGCAGTTGTCCAAAATACGAGCCAATCTGCTGCAGACGTGCACCGAACCCTGAGGGTCTTTCGAGCGCCGAGATCAGGGTCGCAGCAAGGCGCTCGGATTGGGTGAGTGGAATGACCGGTGCTAGAGGATCTGTTGTTGCCTCAGATTGAGCGATTCCGTTCCTCTTTAAGCAATCGGGCCACTTGTCGCCATCAATTTCATGAATCGAAATGGCATCCAAGGCTTGAACAAGCTGCGCGTGCTGTTCTGGCGAGCCATATTGATATCGAAACGGGGAATCCGGGCCTGTGCAATGACGTTTGCTTTTCTCACATTGCGAGCATATGGGCGTGCGCTCATCACACTAGTTGAGGTCTCGGTTAGATTTGCGATATGGAACGGCTCGTGTTGCGGAAAGAATCGACATAGAGATCTTGATCTTCGAGGGAGCTTACTTTTATACGTCGCTGCTTGCACGTTCGGCAGCCTTTACTCCTAGCGCCAGGCATATTGACCTTTCCTGCTGCACTTTAGTTCATACTTGATGGTTTCTTTTTTCACGACATCGGCGCTTTTGTATGAGAAGTCGGAAAGCAAAGGAAGACACTGTAGTGATTTCGAGTTTGACCCTTCTTAAAGAAACAGTAGCCAGTGACTTAGCTTCAACCCGCATGACTCCACTTGTTGATCTTCTGAAGCTGATTGTAGACAGGCCTAGGTGATCCGTCCAGGACAAGCAGAGGACGGAACCGTGGAAATGATCTGCTGGGCATCACTAGAGGCAGAATACCGGATCTAGGGCTATAAGTCGCGCAGCTGAGCTGTGATCGACAATGTACCTCGATCCACCAGCCAGGACCGGAGTCAATCTTTTGCCCTGGTGGTAGGTCGATCATGCATGACCGTTAGAGGGTGTGAAAACACTGAGCGCGCGAAAAGTGTGTAGTAAGTGGTGGATGATGTTCAACCGAAAAGGGGAAGCAAGAGGCCTAGTAAGCCTCAAAAAAGGGACTAATACGAGCAGTACGAGGTACCGAGTATCCGTCGTGTCATTTACCTCGGGAAACTAGCCGTAGAAGGTATAAGTGGCATCAGATGCGTAAGGCGTTCCAAGCACAACTGCGATACAAGTATTAATAATACCTCGTACGGAGTACTCTGTATCGAGTTGTACCGAATCTCATAAAACACGGGATACAATGGAGAACTGCCAGAAGAGAAGTTGAACTCGGCCCAGGTCGCAGGAAATGATGTAAAGTACTTCAAGTCACGTGCAGCGTCAACATCATCACTGTTGGAGGCTTTTTCTCGAGGGTGCATATATCCATTGCCGTGACGTCAAACGCACAGGAAGTGGAGTGAAGGAGTGAAGGGGCGCTCAACCTTGAACAAACATTTCCACTCGACAAGGAAATGGATGGGCTGCTAGCATGTGGCCCACCATTGCTGTTTGACCGTTTAAATGGACCTGTTCCATACCGTCACTCAAACCATTGACCAAGTCTTGACTTGCGACTGGTACGACTCGTTCAAGTCATTCAAAATGGAAGGCAACAAGGCCCAAGACAAAACTATTGATACAGCGCTAGGAGGCGAGACCCCGCAGTATGTGCTTTATGCGAACCCTCAATGCCAGTCTGTGACCGGATGTTGATGAGCCTCCGTAGATATGAGTCCATTAAGACTGAGACTGTTGCAACCTCGAAGCAGAGAGGACAATTGGGCGGTACGCCGTTGAAACCTTGTCCCTCTCCCTTCTGCATCTGACCTTCGCTCTAGCTGGCTCCAATACTTCGGAAACCCCCTCCGATTCTGTAGATCGTGGACAACAGACGGCCGACAACTTTAGATACGGCCAGAATATCTCGGAGTCAGGGATGGGTGGCAAGACGGACTCGCAGGGCGGTGATGCTGGTCAACAAGGTGGCTATGGAGGGACACCAGCTCAGGCCGAGGGACAGAAGGACACCCGGCCGCAGCAAAGATATGGGGGAGGAACCGGGATCGGAGCATGAGGTGGGAATATATCGATCTTGAACAAGGGCACGTTGATGTCGCCTGCCTCAGGGCGAAACGTGAAAAGCTGTTGGCGGCGGACCTAGTCCAGTTCCCATCGTCTGAGGAGGCCCTTCCATCGCAGGTGTGGTCGGCTGTGTTCTGTTGTTGTCCTTGGGTTCCATTTCTCTCCTGGCCTCCTTGAGCTGCTCCAATGTCACTCCATTGCCCAGTTTTGTGATGCCAACCATTGGGGGGTCTCCCTTCTTTACGAACTCCCAGAGGCCAGGCAATTTGTTTCCAGCCAACCTAAATGCGTCTCTTACCACCTGCTCGTGGAGTTTGCTCTTAATCTCAAACACGACCCTACTGACTGGTATACGTGCTGCCCAATAGTCGAATTTACCCTTTCCTTTTCCCATTCGCACGTCACTGCCTTTCGTATAGACACCAATATTTGCGCTTACTCTCTTGTACAACCTAAAACGTTCGCCTCGCAATCTCCTGTTGATAGTTTCTTCGGCGTTCTTGAGTTGTTTGGCCGAGACTCGTCGATCGTGATCTTTCATCCGCAGCCCATAGTCGCCCCAGACAACGGTCGTGCCTCGCATGGAACCGCCAGTGGGCATCCGCGGACGTCCTACGTGAGACTTCCTCACTTCCGGCCTTTTTGGTGTCAACCAGTCCTGACGGACTGTTGTGGTCGAGAACGAGCGGTTGCATCTTGATGGATCTTGGATCGCGGGATGGGCAAGTAGAGGGCAATGTATCCGGGTCAGCCTCGTGATCGACTTTTTTGGGTAGTTCGAGATCAGGGCTTTTATATGCAGGTATCTCAAACAAGCCACTGAAAAGGCGTCAGTATTTGCAGCAATCCTCAAGACATGCACACGAAGCTTTCATACATGACGGGCCGACTGGCTGCGCAGCCATCTTTCCGGTGTTTCTTCAAGCTGCGGATAAATGCGCTTTGTACAGCACTTAGCAGGATCCGGGGAGAAGTCGATATCTAAGAGAATGCAATCAATGCGATGACAAGGTCGGCGGTCATGCGTGTTACTGGTCACGGTGCACACTATGTAACGTCGAATAAACTCCATTGAGAACGAAAAAGCTCCCGAGTTGATTCAACAATCTGCCAAGACCTGGCCGCTTTAAGCGTAGCATGTCCAAGGTGCTACACATATTTCCACTCTTTGCTGTCATGGAATCACCACTCCCTGTATAAGTTCTTCCAGCTACCTAGGTGTTTAATTGGAAGCTATCGTAATTGGTCTGCCACATGCCAGCCTGGTCAAACGTGTCCGCCATGAACGCATCCTGTAAGAAATTGTCATGGGTGTCGAATGACCATGAGAGAGGATTCCAATCCCACTCCGCCGGTGTCTGCACTAAAGCTAGGTGAGGCCCCGTACTCGCAGATATGCTACTAGGCTGTTGGTGGACAATCTGCTCGTGCGATCTCCATAGGCCTGTATCTGATTGGACTTGGAAAGGCGGCTGGTTCGTTGGGGCTGGGGCGTGTGAAGGGTCGACGTTGCGGCGAACGTTGACATTTCCGAGCAGAGGAACCTTTAAATTGAGTTGACGCGAATCTGCAGCATCGTTATTTTGCTGAAGTAGAGCATTGAGAGAACGAATGGTGAGAGCGCCGAGCCGCGCAAAGTTGGAATTGGTTGTATCACGAGACTTCTCCTCCATGACCTGGAGCACTTGCGCTGCTATGCCCTGCACTCTGACCTTGTTCGCCTCTGAGTCAAGACGATTGCTGGAGGGTCCGCTGTGGGATGTGAGGAGGAGGACAATGGTTGCCGTAAAGGCCTGCAGATCCATGATTGGAGAAAGAAAAATGCCAGATGGAAGCATTCGGCGCAGAGGCTGATAGCGTTGCGCAACCGCTTCACAGGCCTCCATACAAGTCAAGCGGCTGTACATATTTCCCTCTGCTGGGTCTTGGCGCATGGTAAAGGGCAAATGAACCCTCATCAGGAAATAATGGTGCAAAAGTTGGCAAAGATTTTCCGGTTTGACATGCACAAGGTCCTGTTCCCACCAAGACTTAGAGGTCTGAGAAGCAAGGACCCGCAGCTCTCGGTCAAGCTCCAGAGCGTACGCATACGCTTGAGCGCCAGATCCGTGGACAGCGCCGAGGTCATCGAGGGTATGGAATCTGCCCGTGATATCCGTCAACTTGTTAAGGTATACCGAGGCTTGGACGACACCGTTGAATGTTAGCGCTCGAGTATTTGTTTGTTCGAACCGCCTAGTAGCAGGTGGGCGATTGATAATCATGCACAATAATCTCTCCGCAGAGCACATGAATTCCCAGAGTTGGATTTTCTGTGCCTGTAACTGATCTGGTGCTCCAGCGATACCGTTATGCTGGGTGACTTGAGATGCTTTTGGCAGCCCCAGGAGCTCTGCCATTGCTACAAAATGTCGCATGCGAATCCATGCTTTCTGGAAATTCCCTTGACTTATCTGGCTGCCGCGTTTGTCAGCTCTCCCCAGGCACAGAAACATTGAGCTGGAGCCTTACAGTCGAAGGAACTATACCGCTCTGTTAGCACCAGCTGATCAGGATGGGGGCGATGGAAATAGTTTTGACCCAGGATGACAGTCGCTTGAAGAGAAGGGAGACTCACATGCATGGCCATTCCCAGCCCCTGTATTGTTCCCATCAGCCGGTCGTGAGATATCAGCGTACCCTCCACGGTGTCAGATATTGCTCGAGAGAAATCCGAGATTCGGTGAAACCTTTTGAGCGACGTCGCGGGACTGCCCTGGTCTTGTGTGTTTTGCTGGGCCGTGACAGCAAGATCAAGCAGCCATGCAGCCAAGTTCATGGCATCAGCATCGGGTGCGCACATGTTTTCATAGCTTTCTACTAGTTCTTGCTGAGATCTCACCGCAAATGGGTGGGGAAGCAGGGCTTGAACCAGATCAATCCATTTTGAGGCCGTCCTACCCATGTCCAGAACGTCCTCTCGTCGTGGGATTAGCTGTTGTAGTGCCTGCCTGGCCGTATTCAAAAGATGCGCCGATGCCTTGGCTTTGCGTTCCTGCAGTTGCTGATCTTGCCGGCCAAAGTCGCCACTCAACCAGTCATTCTGGAATAGGGATCGGAGATGCGATGGTTGCTCCGTCGCAAAGACGTCGGAAACATTGGACTCATCGTCAGAGCCTTCGTCTCCAGGGCTGCTAAGAGGTTGAATAGAAGCGGGCCCTGCGGGGTCTGCCACCTTGTAACCCAGGTTTGATTGGATTTCACGCACAGCATTGCGCAGACTGGCAACCTCAGACTCCAGCAGAGCAATCCGATGGCGCGACGGTAGTCTCTGTTCGTGAACCGGCCTAGAAGTGTATACTTGGGCGACACATTTCAAGCCTCGATCTTCACAGCTTCGACAAGACTCCGCGTCTTCGGACTTTCGAATACAACGAATCTTCCGCCGCCTACCTGCATCTTATCAGAACCGCGTCCGGAGTGCGTCAGCACGATGGCGGCACATACACTCGCTACAGCTCTTTGTTCCCTTTCGAGTCAATTTTGGCACCTCAGGTTGTGACATGGTCGCCTCGTGAATCAGCAACTATTCTAGTACAGCGTTCGAACAGTAACGCTGCTGGAATGTAACGGACAAAAGAGACCCGGCTCGGAGCAGACGGATGCTGTGTCTGACCAGGATGATTGCAGTTGGAATCCCTTTGGGCCCGAGGGGGGAAAGGCGCGAAAAGGGCAGCAAAAGCTGGCCAGGGAGTTGAGTCTCAGTTACTGTCAGACGGGCTTCTATTTCCAACTCGGCTCTCGGAAGGAGGCGAAACCGACATGTCACATGTTCAGCCGGGGGAGATGCAATGAATATTTGCCATTGTCGGTAAAGTCTCGCTCGAGTTTTCTGTGCGCGGATCCGTTCTGTTGCGAGGTCCGTCGAGCGCCTTAGTTGGTGTCCACTTCTATTGGTCTTCGGCGCCTGCTTCCACATCATTCACCCTTTAACCAACAAAGAACAGTTACCAATACGAGTAGGGCGTACCCTTTCCGACGTCTGCAATTAGCTCTATTGTGAGCTGTGAGAAGCGAAACCCCTCTTTTCGAACTGGCGGTTGGAGATCCGTCTGCGTCATGGCTGTGCGACGGCTACGGCTATATAGAGTGGGACACCCACTGGGAGGATCTGAACATGGTCAACATACAAGGGCAAGAAGGACACACTATAACTTCAACAGATCGAATTGCCATAATCGCAACCCACCAGCACAATGGGAGGTCCATATCCTTCGAAAGTGGCCGGGATAGGGGGCATACCGACAGTCACCACCGACATCCCAGTCGACTCGGTCTTCATACTTTTATACGTCTGCTTCGCGGCGACAAACATGAGCGTCTTTCAGCTCAACCGCCGGAAAAACCACAAGTTTATCCCATCAGCGCTCTTGTTTGGCTTCTGTATGGCGAGGATAGTCACGCTGTGTCTCCGCATTGGATGGGCTACGGCACCGCACGACGTTCAGTTGGCAATCGCCGCCCAAATTTTTGTGAACGCCGGCATACTGATAGTCTACATCATCAATTTGATCCTTGCTCAACGCATTCTGCGAGCATCCCTCCCCCAGATAGGATGGAGCCCAATCTTGCGAGCCGCGTACAAGTTCTTGTACATGGGCATCGGGGTGGCACTTGCCATGGTCATTGCGTCCGTGGTCGTGTCATCCTATACACTCGATCCGCACACTAGATCGGTTTGTCGAGATATCCAGCTGGCCGCGATCACCTATCTCCTCATCTTCACCTGCCTTCCAGCGGCCCATGCTGCCTTGGTGCTCTTGTTGCCGAGGTCGAGAGATGCGGAGAACTTCGGCAAAGGCAGCATGAAGAGCAAGCTGATCATTGTCACCTCTTCAGCGTGTCTATGCATGTTGATAGCGGGCTTCAAAGCCGGCATAACTTGGGAGACCCCACGACCAGTCACTAATCCACCCTGGTACGATTCCAAAGCCTGCTTCTATATCTTCAACTTTACGCTTGAGATCATCCTGCTCGGCATCTTGACGTTTACCCGAATCGACAAGCGGTTCTTTGTTCCGAATGGATCGAAGAAAGCGGGAGACTACAGTAGACTCTCAGAAGAGGCTCAGCCGAAGACGGAGCATGCCCTATGGTATGCTACATCGCAAGATGCTGAGAAGCCGTGATTACATACAACTAAGGACATGATGGGATGACATTGTTGGCATCGCGGAAATAGAATGGGTGGTCCTGCGCATGTTACGGCAAAATGGGTATGATATAGATTGATCATTCCTGCATGAGAAGCGAAAAGGTGCTCTCGGCTGTATATACTGGCTAGATATGAAAATAATTCCTCTCGGAAATCCGTCAGTGCTGGTCATTGGCATCATTGTAGGGCTCTTGGGAACACAATGCCGTGGCGCAGTACGTATACATTGCGTTTGATCCGCCGTACCACAAGTGGCGTGGCCGCATCACTTCTGCGTACACGACTCGTACAAGCTGGCACAAGTAAAGTGGTTTTACGCGTCGCGTCCGGCTCGAATTACATATTGAAAGGCGGGATATCTGCGGCATTTCACTTGCTCCTGCCCAAGCCACACCAAGTCATCGCAATCTCTGTTTCTTTAGCAATCTGTCTCCATTCATGGTCGTCCTCGGTTTATTGCAGTCATTCTACGTCCTAGACCTTGACCTGAACACTCAACATGCCATCAGACATCAGGAGTTTCTTCGGAAGTGGAGGGGCGAAGTCGTTGACAAAACCTGGTTTCCCCAAGAGTAACAAGGATGGTGTACGCCCGTTTTCATTCTGCGAAGCATAAAATCCAGCCGACTGATCATTCAATAGGATGGAGCCAAAGTGACTCCCAAGCAACGCGGCCGGCGCAAAATCGTTTCCGACGACGACGATGATGATGAAGAAGTAGTCGTCGACACCACCTTCAGGAGGCCTTCAATTCCCAAGGCAAAGAAATCAGCCACTGAACCAGTGGAAGAGGAGACAACCAGCTCAGCCTACTTTGCTGCCACAAAATCGAAGCCTGCAAGGTCTACCCCGATGCGAAACAAGACCGCAACCACGAACGGTGCAGGAAAGACCCCCACCAAAGAAATCAATGGCGGAACCCCATCGACCGGCAGAAGATCGTCCAGAAAGACTAGCAAAAAGAATTATGCCGAGGACGACGAGGACGAAAACTCCAATGTTGTGTTAAAGGATGACCTTGAGGGTAATGATGATATCTTCAGTGATATGAAGAGCAGGAAAGTGGAGGACGACTACGAGGAAGGGACAGACGAAAATGATCTGAGACCACAAAAGGAGGTCGGCAAGTCTGTCAATGGCCACTCCAAGAGACCCCAATCGGACGACGATGGCGACATCGAAATGGTACAGATTCCTGCGCATAATGGACCTGGTGACGCGAGAAGGAAGAAAACACCAGCCAAAGCAGCTTCCAATCGCAAAAGAAAATCCAAAGCTCTTGAAGACGAGGATGAAGACGATCTGGACGAAGACGAAGACGATGATACTCCGAAAAAGAAGCCGAGGACTGCAACGTCAGCAGCTGCCAGGAAACCCCGCACAACGGCCAAAAAGGAAGAGAGAGAGGAAAGCAAGGAGATCCAAAACATTCTTGACAGTATTCCCACAGTAAGAGCTCCAACGCCACCACCGAGAGATGAAAAGAGGAAATTTCAATACGGCGGAGGCAATGCCAGCGTGGCTCCACCAGCAGATGGCACTGCCGATATTCCAGTAGGCGCAGAAAACTGTCTTGCTGGATTGACTTTCGTCTTTACGGGAGTGTTGAACACTCTGGGGCGCGAAGAGGGACAAAACCTCGTAAAACAGTATGGCGGCAAAGTAACTGGCGCTCCGTCTAAGCGGACTAGCTATGTTGTCATTGGTGCTGATGCGGGACCGAAAAAGCTCGAAACCATCCGACAGCTAGGCATCAAAACTATTAATGAGGAGGGTCTCTTTGCACTCATCCGACAACTCCCTGCAAATGGTGGTGACGGAAAGGCCGCCGAAGCTTATGCAGAGAAGCAAGCGAAAGAGGAGGAGAAAATTCGCCAACAAGCAGAAGATGAGGAAAAGCGAGAGCGAGAGAGACAAAAAGAAGCTGCCAAAATTGCAAAGGCGGCCGCTGCTCGAAGTGGTGCTCCCCTTCCCTCCGCCAAATCACAGGGGCCCAAAGTGGACGACAGACTTTGGGTAGATAAGTATGCACCAGATACAATGAGCGCTGTCTGCGGAAACAAAGGTCAGGTCGAAGGGTTGCAGAGATGGCTTCGCAACTGGCCGAAAGCCGCTAAATCAGACTTCAAGAAGGCGGGTGCTGATGGCAAAGGCGTCTTTCGCGCGGCTTTGCTCCATGGTCCCCCTGGTGTTGGCAAAACTACAGCTGCCCACCTTGTTGCCAAGCTTGAGGGCTACGATGTTGTTGAAAGCAATGCAAGCGAGACTCGGAACAAGAAGCTACTTGAAACCGGCTTGACTGGTGTTCTGGATACTACGTCTATCCTCGGTTATTTCGCAGGTAATGGCAAGAAAGTCGAATCATCCAAACGAAAGCTCCTCCTGATCATGGACGAGGTCGATGGTATGTCGGCTGGAGATCGAGGTGGCGTGGGTGCTTTGGCTTCTATCGTCAAAAAGACTAACGTCCCCATGATCTTGATTTGCAACGAGCGGAATCAGCCAAAGATGAGACCACTCAACAATGTGACAGCAGAGTTCCAATTCCGAAGACCAACCACAGATATGATTCGAGGTCGCATTGCCACGATTCTGTTTCGCGAAGGCATGAAACTACCGATGCCAATTATCAATGCCTTGATCGAGGGATGCAACGGTGACATTCGCCAAATCATCAATATGATTTCGACCATTAAACTTGACAACAAGGATCTCGATTTCAGCGACACCAAGGCCATGTCCAAGGCGTGGGAGAAACATGTGATTCTGAAGCCATGGGATATTGTGAACAAGATCCTTCGACCGCAGATGTTTGCTGTCAGTTCCATTGCGACCTTGAATGACAAGACGGAATTGTACTTCAATGATCATGAGATGAGCTACCTAATGCTCCAGGAGAACTACCTCAAAACAAATCCTGCCCTTGCGACTTCTTATAGCGGCAAAGAAAGAGAGATGAAATTATTGGAGCTCGCAGACAACGCAGCTGCCAGCATTTCCGACGGTGACCTTGTGGATCGGATGATTCACGGCTCCCAGCAGCAATGGAGTTTGATGCCAGTACACGGCATTTTCAGCTTTGTTCGACCAGCTAGCTACGTCTATGGAATGCTTGGGGGACATGCGACATTCCCTTCTTGGTTCGGGCAGAATAGCAAGCAGAGTAGGTTGAAATTTCGTGTCCCGTGGATTCGTGTGCTAACGTCATGTGCAGTGAAACTCTCTCGCTTCGTAAAGGAGATCCAGGGACATATGCGGCTTCGTACCTCGGCTGACCGTCATGAGATTCGCCAGCAGTATCTCCCGGCGCTATGGAGCGAAACAATCGGCGTGCTCAAGAATAAGGGCAAGGACGCTGTGCAAGATGTCATTGACTTTATGGATTCTTACTATCTGACTAAAGAAGATTTCGATTCGGTGTTGGAATTGGGAGTTGGAGAGTACGACATGGAGAATATCAAGATCGACACTGCGACCAAGGCATCATTCACCAGGCTATACAACAGCCAGAGCCATCCCATGCCATTTGTCAAGGCAAGCCATGTCCTGGGTGTGGCGAAAGGCGGAGCCAAGAGGGAAAAGCCGGACTTAGAAGAGGCGGTGGATGAATCCGAAGCAGAAGAACTATTGGCTGAAGCTGAGGCCGGCGATGAGGAAGAGGACGACTCGGACCTGAAGAAAGACAAATATATCCAGGCACCAAAGAAAAAGGCTGCAGGTACTTCTGCTGCTGGCGGTGCGAGTTCGAAGGGCAAAGGGAAGAGAAAGAAGGCCGACGAGGCTGGTGATGTTGATGCCGAGAGCGAAGAGGAACCGAAGAAAAAGCGAGGAGGTGGTGGCGGAGCCCGGGGTGGCAGGAAAGGGAAAGGAAGAGCGTGAGGTCTAGGTTGACTAATTGCAGCGATTTCCCCCTCAGTCTTTCAGACCACCGTACGATGGCGTGAAGGGTAATAGGATATCGAGGAGTACATGATGTACGATATGGGCTAACATTGCTTATCCAGCGACTGATGAGCGATCCGGAAACGGTTTGCGGAACAAAAGTACAATACATATGAGAGGATTGTACCAGATACAAGGTATGCTGGCGTCGATATTAGTGGAGGTGTAATTCTCATAGCTATCTAAGCTTCTAGCCGTTGCCAACTCCAATGTACCGACGAGCCGAGCACTTCAACTGGGCAAACCGTTCAAACAAGCCAAACCAAACAAGGTCTCGAGAGCCCAAACGTGACAAGGAAGACGAGTTCTTTGCCAGAACTCTGGCGACAGATGCCGCCATTTCTGCGTGTGTCACACAGATTAGAGCAGCAGACAACGAGTCGGGTGAACGCAGATTCCCCAGCGCTCCCGGTTCAGCCACATGGCGCCCGTCAGTCATTGAAGTCAGGACACTGTTCGCCATTGCTGGTGGAGTCAATGGGTATGCCAATATTGCGCATGGCGGCTTCGTCGCGTCTATCCTAGACGAAGTCATGGGAATCTTGATAAGTACAAATAAGGACCGATACGAGGAGACAGTTGCCAGAACGGTCACTAATGGCTCGACAACTCCAGCTCAACAAAAGCCGCCACGGCTCACCACTGTCACGGCGGAGCTGAACGTCAAGTATCGAAAACCTGTTTTCACCGGAGGCGTGGTCCTGGTACGTGCATGGTTTGGGAAGGTCCAAGGTCCTAAGCTCGTCGTTCAGGCAACAATCGAGGATGCAGACGGGCGGGTGTTATCAGAGGGAACTGGGCTGTTTGTGGGCTTGGATTCGATGAGGAGTCATATTTTCAGAGGGAGCTGGGAGGCCAAGATCTGAAAGAAGAGATATTCTATACGTGTACGTCTATAGCTGCATGCTTTGATTACATAGTATATTGGTCAATCGGTCCTTGTGAGGGTCATTCAGCCCGCGCTTCAGAGTGGTTGTTGAGGCTGAGAATTCACAGGCCACAAGTATTCGACTGGCTCAAACACCTTGGAGCACGAGACATTGTCTGGGTGAAACTGGCATTTGATGCCAAACTTACATGGCTGCGAGGACATACAACCAACTGCAGAGTGAAAAATGCTGTGCCTGGACCCTGGGGGCCTTGGAATTGGCGACATAGGCAGCCACTGGGGAGCTCCGATGGTTCATTCGCCCATTACTCAGCCCTGTCGATCAATGCGCCTTGCCATGTGCGACTGGTGGCGAATCCTCATTCAAGCCAAGAGCTCAAGCTTGGACTTTTGGGGACCGGCGGGGGATGGGGGGCAGTGTAGCGTATTCGGATCGTGCCTTGTTCACGAAACACTTGATTATATATTTCATCTTGTCATGGATGGCTCAATGAACGAAGCAATGGTAATACCCTCAACACCAACATTAACAACACCAACATTAACAACACCAACATTAACAACACCAACATTAACAACA